ACAAATTAGACAATGAGACTAATTCTTTAAATGCCTGTGGCATATTTTTATTGAAAGGTTTTCTTTGCCTGCTAATTTTTCGGTACAAAAAGTATTAAAAGAGGTCAAGAGATGGAGACAGCAGATTTAAATTAAATTGTATGAATCCAAAACAGTACATGGAGTTGTCCAGAAGAGAATAGAGCACATCTACATCATACATGCACTAGGAAGGAGCAGAGTGTTAAAAATGCAGTAAATGGGCTGTTATCATTGATCAAAACAACAAGGTTGAACTTCTTTCTTATAGCACAAACTACTTCTTTTCTTCTATGAGATGCATATTCATATTCAATGTCTGCAGTCCATTTATCTTCAACAGCTTTCTTTGACATTATTTAATTTAAAACTAGACTTTGGACTGGTTTTAATGATGAAGAATGTTATGTATTCCAGTTATTTGGTTCTCTTATGAGCTTAAAAGAGGCACTTTGAAATGCTAACATTATGTGATAAATGCTATTTTCAGTGTATTGGTAGATAGTGATCATTTCCCAAGCTATGTCAGTTGTTGGCCCTTCCTTTTAACGAGAAAGTGTTAATTGAATAAGATGGCAAATTTCTCTATAGTCAATTTATGTAGTTGATACTAGGAAAGATTCAAGAGAATAAACTTAATAGGACTCTGGAAGTTTTTTCCACAACATAGAAGCACCCTAGATCATAATATATATGGGGAAAAGGCTTGTCAGTTTCTTCAGTGCGGTAGGAACTACAGATTCCTTCTGTGATCAAGGGGAACAAATATTTGCCTTCCAAAGAAACAGGGTTGAAAACTGCCTTTGATTGAGCAAAATGGATGGTTCCCTCCCCCCCAGCCCAATTCTCCAATTGTCTATTAAGCAAGAGCTTGGCTTTGTTGAAGGCAAGGAGGCCAACCCTTCAGAGATTTCAATAGCTAGAGCCCTATGTGGCATATTAAATATTACAGAGCGGCTGGTGAAGAATGCTGATCAATTCAGAGTTTGCCAGTGGGGGCAAGAAACACAAGGTTGGATCTTGAAAAGAGATGTGAAACCTAAGGTGGTTTTTTTGCTTTCATTCACTCCTGTTTCCCCTCCCCGGCTGATACTCCCACCCATCGTTCCAATCTCTTCAGAAGGGAATTCACTTTCATCTGCAACCCTCAAACATAGTTTTGTTCAGTTCCTCTCAGTGGCAGTCAAGATGCTTTGCTTTTATTGCTGGTTCTGAATAGCCTCTTAAATGGGTAATGCTGGGGCCAGTGTCAATAGGTAATTGGTGAGTACCGAAACCTGCCTTTTTATGAACTCATTCTTCAAGATCCCCAACCCCTCGTGTAAAAAGGACTATTGAGCTGTACCAGGCTTGCACAGTTAGGTCTCTAGCCTTTAAGTCCAACCACGCAAGCCATTATAGTAATTCATATTATGCCTGGAATACCTAGCAGATTTGCACAAACTGGATTGTAGGTATCAGCTGTGCAAAAAAGATACCTTGTTTTCACAATTATCTAAAAATGACTGAACTATGATCCATTTCTTTACATTTTGGTTCAGTACTTCCTTTCATAGCTGCTGTTGTTCTAAGTCATAACGCAGCACAATTACTCTCCAAATTGCTAGTGAGCTTAGGATCAAGCCTACTTTGAAAATAGCTTAAGAAGCAGGAACCAAGGAGGTTGTTTTAGCAGCTCAGATTCATTGTTCATCTAACTGAGATTGGACAACCATTTGTCTGAAGCGGTTTAAGCTTTCCTGCTTGAGTAAGGGTCCTCCATGGTCTCTTTCAACTCTGTTATTCTGTAACCTTGTGTTGGGGTCAGCAGCAGCCTTCTCCAATCTGATCTCCTTTAAATGCATTGGGACTACAATATCCCTGTTGCACAGCCTGTCTGAAATGCATCAACTTGGAGAAGGCAGTTTAACGGTGATTGATAGGATTTTTTAAAGGTTCCTGACAAAGAAAAATCATCTCAAGTTACCTGTTCATTTAACAGGAAATGCCAAAGATTGAATTTGGAAGATCCTGCACCATCCTTTACTATTTAGTTGTTTCAAAGGTTTATTAATGTGCATGTGTCTCTTCTCCTTCCCCATTTTATTCACACAACACCTTTAAGCATATTTAGCACCAGGTCATAAATTGGCCACACATGCACATTCACTCTTACTAAAGTAGGTAGAGATATATATGTGGATAAATCTTAGACCACATCAAATACAGTTGTGCTCATAAGTTTACACACCCTGGCAGAATTTATGATTCATTGGCCATTTTTCAGAGAATATGAATGATAACACAAAAACTTTTCTTTCACTCATGGTTAGTGGTTGGCTGAAGCCATTTATTATCAATCAACTGTGTTTACTCTTTTTATATCATAATGACAACAGAAACTACCAAATGACCCTGATCAAAAGTTTACGTACCTCAGTTCTTAATATGGTGTATTGCCCCCTTTAACATCAATGACAGCTTGAAGTCTTTTGTGGTATGTGTGGATGAGGCTCTTTATCTTCTCAGATGGTAAAGCTGCCCATTCTTCCTGGCAAAAAGCCTCCAGTTCCTGTAAATTCTTCGGCTGTCTTGCATAAACTACACATTTGAGATCTCCCCAGAGTGGCTCAATGATATTGAGGTCAGGAGACTGAGATGGCCACTCCAGAACCTTCACTTTATTCTGCTGTAGCCAATGACAGGTCGACTTGGGCTTGTGTTTAGGATCATTGTCATGTTGGAATGTCCAAGTACCTCCCATGCACAGCTTCCGGGCTGATGAATGCAAATTTTCCTCCAGTATTTTTAATCTTGCCATCAATTCTGAACAAATTCCCTGTGCCTCTGTAGCTCACACATCCCCAAAACATCAGTGATCCACCTCCGTGTTTCATAGTAGGAATGGTGTACTTTTCATCATAGGCCTTGTTGACTCCACTTCCAAATGTAGCCTTTATGGTTGTGGCCCAAAAGCTCAATTTTGGTCTCATCACTCCAAGTGACTGTGTGCCAGAAGTTTTGAGGCTTGTCTCTGTGCTGTTTGGCGTATTGTAAGTGGGATACTTTGTGGCATTTGCGTAGTAATGGCTTTCTTCTGGCAACTCGACCGTGCAGTCCATCTTTCTTCCAGTGCCTCCTTATTGTGCATCTTGAAACAGCCACACCACATGTTTTCAAAGAGTCCTGTATTTTACCTGAAGTTATTTGTGGGTTTTTCTTTGCATCCCCAACAATTTTCCTGGCAGTTGTGGCTGAAATTTTAGTTGGTCTACCTGACCGTGGTTTGGTTTCAACAGAACCCCTCATTTTCCACTTCTTGAGTAGTGTTTGAATACTGCTGATTGGCATTCTCAATTCCTTGGATATCTTTTTCTATCCCTTTCCTGTTTTATACAGTTCAACTACCTTTTCCCTCAGATCCTTTGACAGATCCTTTCCTGTTTTATACAGTTCAGCTGCCTTTTCCCTCAGATCCTTTTGCTTTCCCCGTGACTCAGAAGCCAGAAACATCAGTGCAGCACTGGATGAAAGATGCAAGGGTCTGTCAGGAGTCCAGAAACTTGACCTTTTATACACACACACTAATTACAAGCAAACAGATCACAGGTGAGGATGGTTACCTTTAATAGCCATTCAAACCTCTTTGTGCCAACCTGTGTGCATGTTATCAGCCCAAAATTACCAGGATATGTAAACTTTTGATCAGGGTCATTTGGGTAGTTTCTGTTGTCATTATGATTTAAAAAGAGTAAACACAGTTGATCGATAATAAAACGGTTTCAGCCAACCACTAACCATGAGTGAAAGAAAAGTTTTTGTGTTATCATTCATATTCTCTGAAAAATGGCTAAGAAATCATAAATTCTGCCAGGGTATGTAAACTTATGAGCACAATTGTACATTTCAGACAGGTTTTCTGAGAAAGCTTTGGAATGGTCCTTATTCTCTCAAGCTCTCCCCTGTTAAACCACCTGGTGGAAAGCTGATACTTTAACTGTCATGTAAAACAAGAGACTGGTCTCTCATTCTTACATGTTACCTGTTCCTGCCAAATTCGCTTTACCACCCTGCCTACACCAAGCCATAAAACTCTTGTCCATATCCATGTAAATGGAACAAATTAGTTTAGTGCCCTAGGATTACCTGCTTCCAGGTAAGTACATTTTAAAAGTGTGAGAAAAGCATTGATAGTTTGTAAAAGAATGTATGCTATGGAAGGTAAGTTTTCAGCTGGCAAAAGGTCTGCTCGGCTATCTCTAGAATTCTATTGGATGGACTTTCATACCCCATACCTCTTGCTCAGCCCTCTCTTGTGTACCCAGCCCCTATGGGTGAGAGATCTAAACTACAGGATCATCACGGAATGTGCCCATGGCGTGGGATAGAGATTGGTTCTTAACTTAAAAATTCAGAGCATAGCACAAATCCGAGGAACGTGCTCAGAGGACCTTCTGCTCTTCTTTTGCTTCGTTTTTCCCTCCTTCCATCTTCAGTGAAATCTACGTTGTGATGTTAACCACCCAGGTAGGAGGGTTGGTTGCAGCTCCTGCCTAAAAGTTTCTTCTTTGTTCTCCTATTGCAGCGATTTCTTTGGCTCGCAAACGGATTAAATGTAGATCCCGCCGCTTGCCCTCTCCATTTCCAAGGGGGTCACAGCAATCTTATCATGGGGTTCAGATATGATTTTTTGGTTTCATTCATGGAAAATCCAGTTTTGATTCTTCTCTTCCTGATTTATTCTGCCACTTTTTGTTTGTTAATCATTTGCCTTTTGCTGAACTAATTGCCTTTTGCTTTTTTTCCCCTTCCATTTTGTTCCCCTCCCCTGCTCTTATGTGGGTCTTGGTCTTTTTTCCCCCTTCCCTTTTTTTCATATTTTTTAACCATCATTTTCTGCTCCATCTCCTCTTCCAATTATTGCCTCTTCTCCTTATATTTTTTTTAATTTCTTCCTCTTCTTTGTTCTGTTCTTCTTTGGTTCATCTTTCCTTCCTCTGTAGGAACCTCAAACCACCGTTATCCATAACCCAGTGGACAGCATTAAGGTACTGCTGCCTGTCTTTCCTTCTCCTCAGTTTTGCCCTTTTTGTTATCTTGGATAAAAATTGACCTTTTTTTTTCCTGCTCCTTGCATTGCTGTGTAATTTCACCTCTGGGGACAGACAGTAGGCTCTTGTGCCTTTTTCCATATGCCCGAAATCCTGCAACCTAGACTCTAATCCTCTGGCCTAATTAAGGGTGGGGGAAGAGGGTTGTTGCCTTTTGAGGTATTATAGAAAGCACAAAGTTACAACTGCAGCACTGTTTTGAAAAGTCTGGCCTTCTTGAAGAATCACAAACATTAGACTTTCTACTATTTGAGGAGAAAGGTGAAGAATTTCCATGACTCCCTTGCTGGTGGTATGTTCCCTACATTTTGTTCCAGGTCTTTTAGGCTTACAAAGAGGCTAATGAAGGTGGTTCAGAGTGAACAGATGGAATTGAGAGGGGAAAGTTGATAGTCACTTGTCACCTGGAACTAGATCTTCTGGAGGGTGGGATTGTCCTTCAAATCTGTTTTCTCCTGTTCTGGTCCTAAATGTGTTGAGACTGCTAGTTTGGGTTACTGCAGTCTCCACACAGATCGAGAACTCGAGGTGGGGAAGGTTGCTTCCAGATGGGGGAAGAACTCCAGATGGGGGAGGCAACCTTCCCATCTTGAGTTCTCAATCTGTTTGGAGACTCCCGTAATCCCAACTATACTCCCCAAAGTCTTAACTGAGTGTTTTTGTGCTGCGGGATAGGATAGGGAAGAAAGCCTCAACTCTGACCCCAGAGCTCCTTCATGCTCAAGTGAAAGAACGCAGCCAGGCAGACCAAAGAGAGACGTCCCAGGAGGCTGGATGGTCTGAGGACCAGCATAGTTGCTCCATGTCACAATCATTCATTATCGGTCCCAGCCTTCACTTTCACCCAGACCTGCATTTTCTTAACCCATTCTTTGCTGCAGGAGCTTTAATTTTTTATCATGTTTATGCTACCTCTTCAAGCCCATTCACTCAGTGCATCTGACATAGCCTTAAGAAGAGAACCAGGTGGATTTTTGTGTGGGGGTTGGCTGGTTTTTTTGTTTTTTAAAGGTTAAATCTGATAGAGGCTGGTCAAGGAAACTATGTTAGTACCAACCTCCCCATTTATTTATCTTTTCTCCTGGACAGAATATTTCCTGGTTTAGATGAATTTTAAGGGAAAAAAGGATAATGTTTTTCTAATTATACAACTTGTTTTTTTTAGAGGAAGTAAAATCATAAGTCTGGGGACTGGTACCCAGACATATCAAATTATATTGGGATAAAGAATCTGGGGTGATTATGTTGAATATGGGGCTTTGACTTTCTTCCAACTGGGCAATAAATGGAGGCTACTAAGGTCTTCTGTTTATATTTACAATTACTTCTAGAATATATTCTTTTCTGCTTGCAAATGTTTGGGGAGGAAAATCCTCTCATGTTAGAAACATAGCTTTTTTGTCATGAGGGAGAGCAATCATTTTCTTTGAGGTGTCACAGATAATGGAACTGTTTTAAAATGTTATCATAATGTTAAATCTATTCTGTTTTTGACAAATGAGATAGGTGAGATCGTGTTCAAAAGAACTTTGTGAGAATATCGCATTTGCTGCTTTTATTGCATTTGCTTCTCCCCGGCAACAGGGACTCCAGGCAATCTCCAAGAATCAGACACAATTGAACAGAAAGGGAAAAAGTAGTTAAATTAATATTAATTAATGTAATATACATTTTTATAAAAGGTTCATGTCTTAAAAAACTAATTCTGTTTGGAATTTGGAATTCTTAAATTACTCTTAATAGAACATAAGAAATAAGATTCTATTCTATGCAGGCCTCTTAATCTAATCAATGGCATTTATTTCCAAATAAGCCATACTTTTAGGAAGAGTAGTAATATCTGTCCCCAAACCAGCTCCACACCTTAAAGGATATTTAGCATAGTATCTTACTTGCTGAAGCTGAACTGCCACGGATCACCTTGACAGTCTGACAAGTCTTAATTCTAGAATAACATTCTTTGATGAGATGCTTATGAGAAATGAGACCATTCTTATAGTTATGAGCCGGTGCATAATCCTGCAAACAAGAGTAAGTTTATATCATGACAGATACTCCAGTAGTAAATAGGGTTTGGCACAACTACTGGGAGACGTAATTATCTCAAGTCTAGGTTCACCCATATGTAGAAGCAAATGTCAGTTGTGCATTTTTTTCCCCTTGTTATTACAGTTGATCCGCACTGCAACATTAAAAATGGGACTTCCTGCTCAATTCTGCATGAGAAGTCTCTATCAATCTTAATAAAGATGAGATTTGAGTTCCTTAAGAAGTAAGAAAAACCAAGCCAACTGCAATTTTGTTTTTTAAGTTGGTATAATTGGTGAACCATCTCCCTAGTTTTCTTGGGGCAGATACTTCTATATTGATTAATATGGTGATTTATTGTTATGTGAAAAAGGAGACTTTTGAGTATCCCATGGTTTCTTTTCTAATTTATCCAGATTCTCTGGCCTCAAGTTGTACATCTTTCACTATCTCCTCAAACATCTAATTATGGCCAGAGCTGCTAACTTTCTGTTTTCTTTTTCTCCTACTCCTATTTGTCTCCACAGGAATCATCGGACAGCACAAACACCACCATAGAGGATGAAGATACGAAAGGTAACAGATTTAAGGAGTTGGCCCAGAGGTTAAAGACTTGACATCTGTAGAGTTAGTTATTTTGTTTGCATACTCCTGATTGTCTGTGCACTTGACTATAAATGGAATATTGGAAGCTGTAGCAGTTTACGTAGGAGAAATTGATAAATGCAGACTCTGTTTTAGACCATAGCGAGAAAGGAAGTTGTGGGCAAATGGAAAACAGATATGCATGTTCTCGCTTGTTTGATGAATCCTGGCTTATTATGAAGGTGTTGTACTCCAATGCTTGCAGGCTGCTGACTCTTGCTGATGACAATCGATCCTCAAGGATACTTGAGAAATGTTGCCTTTGTGAAATCTGTATTTGCCATAATTACTGGTGTTTTATTTTAAGTGGTAATTCAAGTCTATGCTCAAAACCCTACCTAACTTAACCCATACTTACCACGCCTCTTTTTGAATAACGCATTCAAAGAAATGAATAAGCAAGATAGAATTGAGTGCTGCGGTGGCCTAGAGGTGGAGCTCTTGCCTCACAGTCAGGAGGCTGTGAGTTCAATCCTAGGTAGAGGCAGAGATTTCTCTCTCTGGGCATACTGAGAATATATCTGCTGAATAAACCTCCGCATTGGTGACAGGAAGAGCATCCGGCCAGTAAACACTCAGCTCCATTCATAACACTTACTCCATCCCGCAAGCGATTATGGGGTGGTTAAAATAGGATGATGAATAAGCAAGATAGAATGAGTCAGTTTGGTCTACTAGAGGGAAGATCAGAAAGCAATATGAAGCTTTTGTGATGTTTAAGATACTGTATATTTTGCTCCATCGAAACAACCTGAATATTGTAATTCCCCCTCCAATCATGATGCCACCAGCATTGCCCACAGGATCTACAGGAAAGGTGCCATGAAGGTATGACTTTTGGGTCCAACAAGATGACATTGTATGACAAACGGGACATGAAACACTCCCTGCTAGATATAGTGGGATGAGCAGAGATGATGGGACATAAGTAGTCTTGTAAATAGTTCAGTCCTATGCTGTGTAGGAGTTTTATAAATGATAACCATCACCTTCAGTTGCATCCAGAAGCCTACTGGGGACACAGTGCAGCTCACAGAGTAGTGTTGTGATATGAATGTATGGGAAACATGAAAAACTGCTTGCATTGTTGCATTCTGGACAAAGTGCAGCTTCCAAATGCTCTTCAAAGACATTCATGAAGAGTATGTTACTGCAATCCAAACAGGAGGTAACTAGGATGTCAATAGCAATAGCACGTAGACTTATATATTGCTTTACACCCTCTCTAAGCAGTTACAGAGTCAGCATATTGCCCCCAACAATCTGAGTTCTCATTTTACCCACCTGAGAAGGATGGAAGGCTGAGTCAACCTTGAGCCACTCAGAATTTAACTCCTGGAGTGAGCAGTGATTTAGCCCTGCAGTACCGCTGTGCCACCACAGCTCTACAGATACCTTTATGTTGGAAGAGAAAGGAAGGAAGGTTGGATTTGTATTATTTGGGTTCAAGACCTACACACACACACACACACACACACACACTGGGGGAGATAATACTCTTTCAGAGTAACCTTAAGCTTTCTCTTCTGTCCAACATGTAGCTGTATTTCCTGTGTATGCCCTTGTCAACAAATAACTTCTGTTTTGAAGCATAACCTTTTATATTTAGTAAAGCAGAACTTCAGATTAATTGCAGGGGCTGGTGGATGCCTGCTATAGTATTAGGGTCAAATTTTGTTCCTTGACTAATGGGGGTTAATTTGTGTAACATAGTTCTGCTGTAATGTGTGCATGGTCTACATGTATGCTAGACTGGGCTTGTGTTTTCTACAAGACTTGAATTAAGACTTAGTCAGCTTGCATTTTCCCAGGGAAAAATGTGGGTGCATGACTAGACATGTGACTTCTAGTGCTATTGATCAAAAGGCAGAGGAGACATTCTGAAACCCAAGAGGTGATAGGAGAACTCAGAAAGACCATCCTCGGGGAAAGCTTTGTCATATCCCTTTGCCTTGTGTAACCTTTCACAAATGAGGGATGAAGATTACATGATACAAGTCTTGTCTCAAAGCTTTGTGGTTGCAGAAAGAATGTGCATCTTTTTGTAACATTCACTTTCTCCATAGATTGTTCAAACTGTCAGTGCCAAGATAGAGCTAAGAAATATGTGATGCCCTGATACTTAAATTATGGTCCCAGATCAATGTGATCAGTAGAAATGAGTTTAGAACCTAAGAAGACCTAAGCTGAGTCTAATCTGTTACTTTATAAAGAATCAGAATCATTCTTTATTATGGTCACAAACCAGCACAAAAGTTAAACATTAAAATAAATTTGTTACGTAGAAATTATTGGAAAATAACTAAACAAAGTATTAATATGAATAAGGATCTTTAGTTCTTTGTGTGTTTTTTTCCTTATTATCATTGCAGCAGCACACAATTTTGCTACTGCACAAATGGTGGCTGGATTTGAATCCTGGAGGAAAAGGTTCACGTAGAAATTATCTGATCTCCCTAGAAATCTCTCTAATAGAGGGAAAACATACGTTGATCTGATGTCACTGTCGAACTTGCAGCACAATAGGACATGTGAAATATCTTCAATTTCCCCATTGCCACATGTACACATTTGCTCAGCTATTGTGGTTTTATCATTCCTGCCCTGCAGGAGTGTTGAGTGGAGGATATTAAGTCTGGCTGTAAAAGATGCTGTTCTACTCTTAGGAAAAGTCAGGTCTTTCGGATACCTTGCTGGTTCCCACACACCCCATTTAATCTGATTTCTTTTGTGGAGAGATATCCTGTTAAGTTCTAGCTGGGACTCCACGACTCTTATTCTTCTGGTAACCACTTGCTTGGCTTGATTGTAGCCTTGGGATATTAAAAACAATGGGGGAAAGTCCATTGAAGGCCAGTTTATGCTCTATTGCCTGTTTCCAGGGAGAGGGAAAGTTGTCTATTAGGACTAAAGCAGTGATCCCCAACCTTTTTTACGCCGCGGCCCGGTATCCCCAACCTTTTTTATGGCGCGGCCCAGTACCGACATCAGCTGGGCGCCACCATCTTGTTTTGATGAAAAAGTGCTTCCGGTGAGCTTTCTACCCGGAAAAGCTCACCGGAAGCACTTTTTCATCAAAACAAGATGGCGGCGCCCAGCAAGCCAGCGGCCCGGTAGGACTTGTTCCACGGACCGGTACCAGTCCGCGGACCGGTGGTTGGGGACCCCTGGACTAAAGGGTCGAAGCTCTCTGGGAAGAATGGAATTTTCAACCAGTACAGATACCTTGTAAAAAGTCCCTACCCAGGCAGGACATGAATGAAATCAAACTTTCCTGCTTGTCATACTTGGAAGTATGTTGCCTCTATGTTTCACTGTATCTTAATTCCATTTCCCCAATCTTTTTTTTTCTATTAAAATACATTTTACTTTCCCATTCTGTGTCTCCTATTTTTTTCCTTTCACCAAAGGTGTCATTGTTCTTTGGATTTTTTTTCCTTTCTGTCTTTATGGTGTTTCTGTTTCTTTTTCTACTCTTTCACATTTTCCCCAGTTAAAAGCACTGATAATGAGCTTGTAAAAAGTCACGTGAATTCAGGATCTGCCCCTGAACTTCCTTCCAGCCTGCAGACATCTGTCATCTCATCTGCTGCTGCTGCAATCACGGCTGCTTGTAAGTTGCAAGGCCCCAATGTTGGTTTATCTGTTATTTATCTATTTGAGAGATTTATAGGACTGCCTATCTTAAGCAACTCTGGGCAGCTTACAATAAGATGTTCCCCAGTTCCACCTTCCATTGAAGACCCCTAATTATAAGCCTTCAGCCATGAGTTTCATTCAACTATGGCAACAAGCCTGATTTCCTATTATCTGAATGAACGTGTTTAAACCTTTAATTCTGTCATCTCTTCCTCTTTGATGTGCCAGAGTTTGACAACATCCACTCTGGATGGACCTTTGAGTTGTGGCTAGATTGAGTAATGATTTTGCCAATTAATCTTCAGTTCTGGCTGGATCTGTGGCAATCATGGCTATAGAAAATCATGGTTCCTGAATTCAGCTTCACATTGCCTGTAATTATTTTAACCAAAAAAAGAAGAAGCTGATTTCTTTAATCTTGCTTGCAAACTTGGTAGAAGTCCAAATCCCTAGGCCTCTTATGGGCTCAGCCATATAGAAGAAGGATTACAAAAAAACAAGATATCCGCAGTGCGGGAAATAAGTACAGTGGTAGTTGAACTTAGAGAAAGTTCTTTCAACTTAACCCTTATTTATATCCATGTAACTTTTAAGTCATTTGCTTCAGTGATGCTATGAGAAATTTGATTTAGAAAGCCATAACTAAGTACCGTAGATTAAAAAAAACACTTGGTGCATTGGTTAAAGGATTCTTTGCATCTTTGAGTCATCTTTTCAGATTTTTTTTCTACCTCACTGTTACTTTTCGTTGCCCTTCCTTTATCTTCTCTCTGTCCTTCCTTCTCTCCCTCCCTCCCTCCCTCCCTGCCTTTCTCATTTGTCCTGTCTCAGCCTCCAAGCTCTCTGATGTATTAGGCCTGGTGAAAAAAGGATCAGGTACCCTTGTGGCTGAAGACCCAACACATTCTTCACCCTGCATATTACCAGCTATTGCAAGCCCCCTCCCTCCCCAGTGTAAGTAGTGTGTGAGTGCTAGGCTGTGCAGAATTCAATTGCTACATAGCTGAAAAAGAGTGTTGCTAGAAAGCATTTGTGGCTTGTTATTAAACCAGATCTTACATTGCTTTAATGAAATATAATGAATGCATTCTTGGCTTGGATTTCATTAGCAAAGATTGTATGATCCATTTGAAAGTCCTGCAAAGTTATAATGTCAAATTATACTAAATCAAAGGTCTACAGTGTGATTAACTTTTTTTAACCTCAGCAGGAAAACAAATATTAATGCAACAAATTAAAATATTCCCAAATATGGAAAATTCTTGTAGTTGTAGAGATGGAATAAGAAATAATAATCAAAACAGGCTGAAGTTCTGGATTTCCACATAGCTAGAGAATTCTAGAGCATCTGAAAAGGATGCCAAACATATATAAAACATACAATGAATGGTTGCAAGAACTGGGTATCTGTAGTCTAATGAAGAGTAGGACTAAGGGTGGCTTGATAGCAGTCTTCCAGTATTTGAGGGGCTGCCACAGATAGGACGGGGCCAACCTATTCTCTAAAGTACCTGAGTGCCGGATAAAAAACAGTGGGTGGAAACATATCAAAGAGAGATCCAACCTAGAACTAAGAAGAAATTCCCTGACAACGTGAACAATTAAACAGTGGAACAACTTGCTTCCAGAAGTTGTCAATGCTCCATCATTGGAGGTTTTTAAGAAGAGATTGGACAACCATTTGTCCAGAATGGTATTCTATCTCCTGTTTGAGCAGAGAGTTGGTCTCCACAGCCAGGGTCCTTCTGTTATACTGTTATTGTTCTTGTCCTGATGCGATTCTCTAATATTTTTCAACTCAACATTTTAGAAATTTTCTTCTCTTCCCTACTCCATTTTTTTTTTTTTTTTGCCCCAGCTGCCTGGTTCTCCGATGTACGAGGCCAGGTGAAATAGAATTCTCTGAAGCAGAATAACCAAACATTTCTATCATTTTGTCCTTCTTACCTTCTATTGTGTCAAGTCCTGTTCCCCTCCAATGTAAGTAGATTTCTGAGAACAGCCAAATAGGAATTGCTCTACAGAACTAGCTTTTCTTGCTTTTTATGGGAGTACATCCCTTGAATGTTGGAATACTCAATCAGTAAAATGCACTGAAAGGATTGATGTGTTGGCTTGATATAATTTATGTGCACATGCTAGGAACCTCATCAGATTTGGTTCTGTATTTATTATGCAACTCGTGTAATTCTTGGGACAAAAAAGTCTTCTACTCAGAATTTAGGATTGCACCTAGATGCACAAAAGCAACAAATGCAATCACTTTTGCGGGCCAAATGAACTTGTGTGCCCCTAACTAATGTGTGCCCCTAACTAATCAGCAATCATTTTGTACAATTTACCCTCTGATTAATGCCTTAAACATGCAAACATATGAGTATATTGATGCAAGCCACTTGCTTCTTAATCGTTTGAGGAACACTCTTCCCTTCAATGGAATGCTTTCTTTAATCGGTCCTCTTATTTTACTTTTCCCATCTCTGTGCTTTTTTATATATTTTGTTTGTTTCTTCATCTTTCTCTTCCTCATCTCACCCTAGCTGCTAAACAATCTGATGTCTTAGGCATGGTGAAAAGGGGTTCTGGACCCCCAGATGCTGAAGACCCAAAGCCTTCCATTACCCTGCCTAATCCATCCATGGGTGTTGCTAATCCTCTTCCTCTCCAGTGTAAGTAGCAGAGGTAGCTCTTGCCTCTTAAAGTGGCATGTCACAAATTTGCGGAATCCCTCCGACTTTTGGAATGGGCAACTTGCCACAGGACAACTCACCATAGCCAACTTGCTGCGGAACAATTCACCATGGAACAATTCAACAATTCAATTTATTTAAAATAATTTAAAAATATTTTAATTTGTGTCATTTACATTTAATTTTGTCCCTCCTTTGCCATCCTTTCTTTAATGATTGTATTGCACCATTTCTTCAATATTAATGTAACTCTTGTACTGCGGCAAGTTGTCCCATGACGAGTTGGCCATGGCAAGTTGGCTGTACTGAGTTGTCTTAGACCCCTGGCTTTCCACCTTCCTTTCTTCTAAATAAAGTTCTTGTGCTTAAAGAGGAGTAATTTCCCTCATGCAGTTACCCAAGAAGAGATAAAGAGTGGTTATTCTCTTCAACATTTTGCTGCTAAAAGGAAGGATTCTCCTACCCTCCATTTCTGTTCTGGTGGTTGCACCATTTGCTTTGTTTTCTCATTTTTCCCCTCCCTTCCCTTTTCTCTTCTACTGCCATCACAGCTGCCAAACTCTGTGATGTGTTAGGCATGGTGAAAAGGGGCTCTGCGCCCCCCGAAAGTGAAGAGCCAAAGACCCCCAGCCCCCTTTCTGGACCACCTTCTATTGTCACCAATCCTCTGTCTCCCTTGTGTAAGTAGTGGAATGTCCCTGGGATTTCACTATTACGATTCTGGCAAATGACATGAGTCCTTTGTGTGTGTGTGTGTGGGGGGGGGTTCAACACAGGAACTTAGCTTCCCATTGATAATCCCTTTAAGAAATTATTGTTGATTTTCTATTACTTGTCTTTAATGTAGCTCGGTCCTGCTGAGCTTATCCCTAGTCCCCCACAAGTAGCACAGCTCTAATCTTGCAAAACTCTTGTTCCAGAGGCTTCCACTGAAAGCTGTGGGTAGCTTCTAGCTTCTGGAGGTTTTTGGCAAGATCAGATTGCTTTAGAACATGATGGAAACTCAAAAACTGAAAGGAAAGGTGAGGGAAATAACACATTGAACAGGGCTAAAATGCTTCCAAAGAAGCAGAAAGCTTTTCCATTGGGGACTGTTCTCTAGCAAGTATTTGTACCTGGTAAAGTAATTTGTGCTGGAGATGCTCTAATAAATCAGAAGGAAGAGACAGGTTTCCAGCTGGTTCTCAGAATTAGTCATTTATCTTGTGAAATAGGACAACTTTGTTTCAGCCAGAGATCTTCCTAACTCTAATACAAAATAAGAGACAAGGGAAAAAAATTAAGTTGGGCTTCCTTGTTTATCCATTTATGGAATGGGTAAAAAAAATTGCAATTCTGGGAAGCATGCAATAGATGATGATGAACATCAGTAAAAACACAAACAGGCGACCAGAAACTCATATTCATGTCTCTCTCCAAAAAGGAAACTCCAATCACCCAACCTCAAAGCCCAAGGCTTTGTTTTATTGCCTTTCTGAAGACCCAATGGGCCAGGGCTAGTCATATTTTTGATAGAAGGGCAGAGGTGCCACAATAACAAAGGTGATAACCAGCACCTTGAATTGCACCTGAAGCCCAATAAGAAACCAGTTTAGATTGTGAAGTAGGGTTCTTACAGGGACAGATATTTTTTCCTAAAATAAGGGAAGAGTCAGGTTAAGACCAGAGCAGGTTCTGACCAGTTCTGGAGATCCGGTAGCGGAAATTTTGAGTAGTTCGGAGAACCGGCAAATACCACGTCTGACTGGCCCCTCCCCCTCTATTCTCTGCCTCCCGAGTCCCAACTGATCAGCTGGGTCTTTTTTGGTTGTCCTGCACAGGAGAATGAAGCTGGAAAGCAGGTTGGTGGGGTGGGGAGGGAATGGGGATTTTACAGTATCCTTCCCCTGCCACGCCCACAAGCCACGCCCACAGAACTGGTAGTAAAATAATTTGAATCCCACCATTGGTTAAGACCTGCCTACCTATAAAGTGCTGAGCCTGAATAAATAATTCACATATCATCTTGAAGACTCATTTCCTCACATCATTGATCTGTTTTAATTTGTTTATTTGATTATTACCTCCCTGCCTTCTTTCATCTGTCTTGCGCCAGCCTCCAAGTTGTCTGATGTCCTAAGCATGGTGAAAAGGGGCTCTGGAGCCCTAGAAGCTGAGGGGCCACAGCCTGCTGCCACCCAGTTTTTCCCATTTCTACCCATTCCTAGTCCTCTTCCTTCAGATCGTAAGTAGCGCAAGTGGTCTGTGATAGCCAACGGCTGAGCCCTGCTTGATCTGTTCAGACTTGAAAGAACTTTCAGTTCTTGTTGCGACACTGTAGGTGTGAAATAACAGCCTAACGCTTATTGCCATGTGACTTTGCCTGAATGGTTACAGCTTCACTAGGTTGCTCTAAATGCAAGCTGAGAAGGTGGGATACATGTGCATGAGAGAACTGGATTGTGCAGATTGCAGATGGCTTGTGCAAAAGTGATCTTGGCATGAAAGATGTGTTGCACTTGTATCAAGTACTTAAACCTGGAAGGTACTGACAAGTATTCTATGATCAGTGGCTCTAACCATGTGCAGATGTTGAACTTCAGCTCCTTTTAATGCTAGCTGGCATTGGTGAAGAACTTATAGGAAGGGCAGATGTTGGCCAAAAACATCTGAAGAACTCCATGTTACATCTATGCTCCATGTTTCCATATTAAGTGCAAATGTTGCCTCTGCATTTGGAGCAGCACTAGGTCAATTCCTGTGCCTTTATTCACTACTAGCTGATAACTCGGCATTGCCTGGGTATTTATTTATCCCAATCCTGTATTAGATAGGAAAATCCTGTAGTTGGGACTCACGCTGTTGTACTGTCTCTCGCGCAGCATCGCAAGTCTTCTATTCCTCTCCTCGGGAGTTTCTTGTCTATGCTGTTGTTTCATTTTTTTTATTGCACTTGGCCAATGGCCTGACGTTTTCTTGGAAGGCTGAGAGGGAGCCCCCTGTGAAGCTGTTACTATGGCAAGTCCACTGTCCTGTACAGTAGAAGCCATTTTAAGGCACACATATCCAGAGGGGTGTTAAGGGTGTCTTACCTTCACAGTATTTGTTTCCAGAGGGTAAGTCATCTGTGTACCAAGTTTGGTTGAAATTGCTCAAAGCAGTCCAGAGTTATGCTGGAACACACACACACACACACATATAATTAATTCTATTCTCTTTGTCCCTTTGAAAAACAGAATTTTATTTCTTTTTCAACTGCAATACCAACAGCCCAGAAGACATATTATTTATTCTGTAGCCATGGCCTTATTTTTTGAAACCCATGCAACTTCAACTTAGGCAAATTTGGGGACGGTGGGAGGAGACCCAAGATGGCCCCAGTCCAGCAGGTGGTTAGCTATGCTAATATTTTAATTCAAAAGCTACCTTTCCTCCAAAGCTCAAGGCAACTTAATGAGGAGGTAGATTGGGATAAAAGGGAATGAGTGGGGCCAGCAAGACTGGCTGGGGAATTCTGGAAGTTGAAATCCACAGGTCTTAAAGTTACCAAGGTTGACACCCCAGCTTTTGAAGTTGACATGACCCTGAATATCCATAGTCCTAAACCCAAACATTAATCATCATCAGATCCCTTTGTCAGCTTTCCAGCAACCCTCCATTCCAATCAATAACTCCAAGACAGACATATCTCAAAGTTACCTTTATTTGGATAGTAACTGGCACATCTGTGGAATCCCAAAACTGAAAGTTCTGAGCTTCCTTGCAAAAGTCAGATCTACAAATCCATCCCCGCTTAGCCATCACTACATCACACGGTCCAATCATCATCCGTCCTGAAGTAAGATTCCCAATTCATTATTTTATTTTATTTTGTGTAACTAGATATACTCAAATGAATTCCTCCCTCCCACTTTCTCAGGCTCAATTGTGGCAGTGTGAGAGCATCGAATCTCAATATGGCTTCCAAAGCTGACACCCTTTGGCTGTTTTAATTTTTGAGATGGATTATGGCCAATAAATTACATAGCCTGTGATTACTTTCAAGGGTTAACATGTTAATATGTTCTTTAATAGTACATTAATTTTATATTCTTGTTGATCGGTAGTTGGATTTTGCTCGTTTTTATTCAGAGGCAAGTCCTCTTGTGCTTAATGGGCTTATTTTCTAGTGTGTAAGATGGAAGCCTTAGTTGCTATCAATTGTGTTTTTGTTATCCTAACTAGTCAAATCTTGTATTTACTTGACTGAGTATTTGACAAATAATACATTGATTTGGCTCCAGCTTTTCAAACAATATATAGAGTGTAGCATTCTTCTGATTATTTCCTTATCCAAGCACCATCATTATCCCTGATCTCTCATGCAATTCCTGCCCTTGTATTCCAGTACATTTTAGATCACAATTATATTCATTGGGGTTTCTAAGTGGCCTCGGTTTAAGTGTGCACTGATTGCTTAGTATTTCAACGAAGAGATTTCAGAATAGTACCAATTTTGCCCACCTTCACTTTTAAATTACTTGGATACAGACATTTGCAGGGATGTCTACAAATACATGGTTTTCCTTTACTGTCCCAGATAAGTGTATTATACACTGCAGCTTAAGTATACAGTATTTTACATAAATCTGCTATCTGATGGAAGAAACCTTAGCTGTTTAATCAGTTAATTGATTCAATATGCATACACTATGACTGAGTCTTCCTCCAGATATTCTGCAGTTTGTATAATTTTGTTAGACAAATAATGATGTCCAATTAATTGATGATTGTGAAATGATTCATCAAAGGTAACTGTCTACCTTATGTATGATTGTCCAGCAATTACAAATATACATGCTTGCTCTCACCTATCAACCTGACAAAGTAGACCAACCAAAAAAATCAACTCTATGGGAAGATTAGAATTCTGTTGAAATAGACTACAGCAACACGATCTTGCAAGCCTGATTGTGCTTCTCCTTGCTTCTCTTTTAGACCCCAGTGATTCAGGGAAAGGCCAACTCAAGTTTCTTCTTAATACAGGTAGCCCTTGACTTACAACAGTTCATTCTTTCTTTTGTGTACACTGAGAGCATTTGCACCAAGACAAATTTCTTGTGTGTCCAATCACACTTGGCCAATAAAGAATTCTGTTACTCAGTGTTCAAAGTTACAAATGGCACTGAAAATGTATGTGCCTTATGACCATTTTTCATACTTCCAATCATTGCAGCATCCTCAAGGTCACACAATCAACATGCCAATGTTTGGCAACTGGCATGTCTTTATGATGGTTGCAGTATCCCGTGATCATGTTTTTCAACCTTCTGATAAATGGTCAAAAGAAGGCCAGATTCACTTAACAACTGTGTTATTAATTTAACAACTACAGTGATTCACTTAACAATGGAAATGGCAAGAAAGGTCATAAAATGGGGCAAAACTCACTGAATAACTGTTTTGCTTAACAATAGAAATTTTGGGCTCAGTTGTGGTCATAAGTCAAGGACTACCTGTACTATCTTCCTTCTCCAGGACCGAAGGAATGCTTCTGTCCTTTTTTACATACAGCATCTGACTCTGGGATTTATGGATACCTTCCTGGCTTTCTACATCACCCAATTAAGTCCAGGGAACCTCAGGCAGGAAGTTGTCTTGTCAGTTTCAATTAGGGCAGGCAAATTGTTTCATTTGAAAGCCTTTGGATCCTGAGTGGCTGCAAAACTCCCTTATTCAAGCACCAAATGGAGATTCCAAGTGAAAACAAGATCTTGGAAGTTACTTGGAAGTAAAAAAATAGAAATGCCATTTTCTTGATCCTCCAAAAATCTTTTAGTCCACCTACCGCAACTTCAAAAAATCCTGGGGGGGGGGGGGGGAAAGCCCATGAACTTGTTTATGAGTAGTTTGGGACCTCCAAGTTCATTGTTTTTAGAAAATGCAGACTTTTAGACTCAGTCACCCAAATATTTAGACCTTCACAGAAGTGGGTCTGAAAGGACCATAGGCTATTTTCTTTGTTGGTCCATCAAGGTTTTATACAGCTGCACCTAGCAGCAGCTGCCAAGGAAATGGAAAAGAAGTTTCTTTTTCCCTTTGGAGTTTTGAGTTACAAGGTTGCAGTGTCTGCTGCAGGTTCTCTTTGCCCTGAGCTGCCTTCCTCTGGGCTCAAAAGCTGGGAGTCCCTGACACTGGTGTATATTTACTAAGGATGGATGACAGTTTGGCATGTTTGCAGCAGGAGGGAGACTCTGGCACAGCTGAATTGAGACTCCCACAAGTGGTGCTAAAGCTTAGAGAATGCTACCCTTTCCCAGAAGAAGTAGGCATGACCTCCAGGGCCACATGTAAGAATTGGCCTTAGTCTGAAGATGAAAGCAAAGGCAACTTTCCTCCTTTTATGAGTGACCAGAAGTATCCTCAGGAAGCAACACTGCACGGATTAAGGTTGAACACTGGCATATACTGAACATGGCTGAATGTGAATTCATTATCAGTTGATGTGCATTTAAAAGCTTTTAATCTGGGTGGCTTAAGGGCAAAGTGCTCTCATTTCTCTCAGAATGTGTTGGCTTGGAATAAATCCTGTTTGTGTAGAGCTTACTTCCAGATACATGTGCATAGGATTTCAATCTGTAACTTCAGTGCTCTCTCTGTCTCTCTCTCTGTCTCTGTCTCTCTCTCTCTCTCTCTGTCTCTCTCTCTCTCTCTCTCTCACACACACACACACAATGATTAATGAACAATCTGACTATTTCTTTGTGCAAAATGGGACAGACCAGGAATGAGTATTCACTTAATGAAAAAAGGAAAACATTGATAAGGTTCCTTGAGTAAGCCAACTGTAGAAACAAAAGAAACCCTGGAAATTTTCTAAAGTAAACAGATGTGTGAAAAGAGAAACATTTGTCCTTCATTTAGCAGCAGCCTGAGAAGAAATAGTTAAAGCATTCACAGATGACTGTGGACTAATCTCTCATATCATTTAGCATTGAGCAATATTTGAGGACAGTTCTTTGCAGAATGGGATTTACTGTTCCATGAAGCTAACCATGGCTCAGATAAGGGCAAGGAAAAGGGTCACTGTTTTCCCCTTATCATTTTTATTCATTTAATTTATCCCAGGAGTCATTCATATGTGGTAACTTGTAAGGCAAAATTTATCAATTCTCAGTTTTACTGGATTCATCTGAATCGTATTTTAGTCCTGCTGATATATCAGAAATCAGTCCACGTTTGTTCAAGATAGAATTATTTGGGGGTAATTTCGTGTCTTCTAAGTGAGTTTTCCTGCAGTATACAATTTGTTCTCTTAGCCGTACATTCTTCTTAACAGCAAGAGTGCACACCTGAGAAAAATTGAATATTTAAAACTTAAGAGCACCCAGAAAATTGGTGGAATCAGCTGATGGTAAAATACAGAGTCAGGTACTAATTTGAAACTGCCTTTCTGTTGCTCATTTGCATAGCTGATCTCTTTGCTCATAAGCTTAGTTAATTTGAGAAAGGAAAGTTAGCATCTCCCTACAGAAATGGATGGAGTGGGATCCATTGATTCACTTAACAACCACCATAAACATTGTCATATAATTGGGCCTGACTTGACTTACAACTGTAATATTACAATGGACGTCCCAGTCCCAATTGTGGTCATAAGTCAAGGATGATACCTGTAATACGTATCACTCAGATCCACAATTGGGTCTCTTATTGGATGAGGTTCAGTAGAAGTTCTTACTTGCAAAACATTTTTTTAGATTACTAAGCCTTTCCTTATGGCTTCTGGCCAAGATACAAGCAGAGTTAAGATACAAGCAGAGTTAAGATCTAGAGAAGAAGGGAATTTATTGTTCAGGTAGGGTGGGTTGCTTGCTAACCAACCTTGGGTTTTCAGTCCATGTGAAGACAGAAGTCTCGAAATCGCTTAGGCAAGGAGATGACCTAGGCAAGGCCAGTGACACTATCTCTGCCAGTAGAGTATTTCATTATTTATAGCACTTGCTTCAATTGAGTCATTTGAGTGCCTTGTAATTCCTGCATCTCCCTGTGTGTGCTGGTTTCAGAGATATGTGGAGATTCAGTCCACATTGTAAGAGGACAATAGATTTCTCTCTGGAAAAAGGAATGCCTTAATCTTTAAGGTAAGGGTGGAATCTTGTAATGTGATAGAGGCTGACAATAGGTTATTATTTCCTGTATGATTGCAGTGAAGTCAGTTCTGCTCACTCTGGTCCATAAGGTTAGGATTTACTTCTTTTCTATGGTGGAAAGCTAGTTTAGGATGTATATATATGGTGAAAATATCTGTGCACCTGGTTTTTGAGGGAGTCTGTGTCTTTTAGATTTATGGTTAGTCTTTTCCACATTTTTTTAAGGTGGCATCCAATTCTGAAGGACTGTATCCATACTACTCCTATTAACCCACCTTTTCTCCAAGAAGCTCATCACATGCTATCTTAGTTTAACTCTTATAAGGATTTTGTGCTGCTGTGCCGTCTCTCAACAATTGGTTCATTGTTTTTTAAAGAGCTTCATGGTCACCCCGAATTTTGAACTGAGTTCTCCCTGTTTAACTCCATCACTATTGTTGGTTAGGATCAGAACTGCAGACAGTCACTAGATGGCAGCAAAGATCTAGTATGTTTTCTTTGTCTTTGTTGCCTTCTAGTGATGGTTCAGATATTTGCAGCCAAGTTAGAGTAACATTGCCTTTAAGATCCTAAAGAATAGTAGGAATGGAGCATGTTAAATCAGTGTTTTTCTGCTTTCTGCTTGACAGGAAGGTTGACATGAAAACTCTTGATCATATTGTTAATTTCTCTATCTTTCTTTTTTCTTTGATTCTTTTTTTATCTAGCCCGCAAACAGGAAATAATCAAGATAACAGAGCAGCTGATAGAGGCTGTGAACAATGGCGATTTTGAGGCCTATGCGTGAGTAGGCTGAGTGTGAAATCTTCCATGGGTCCTGGTCTCACAACTTACTATTTTATATGTATTGCTTTTTAAAAAATATAAATAGTATCTTTCATTAATACTGGTAGAATTACATTTGTTGCTGCGCTAATTACCATGTCCATAATAGGGCAATATCTTTAATAAGTCAACTCCAGCTACACAACAGTATGCAAACTTTTCATTTCAATAGTGATGCTTTTCTATTTTAAAACAATACTGTGTTTTTATATGCAAGTATCCTATTGTCTGTAACATGTCTCCCTGCTTGACTGGGTGGGATGGGCTGATATAATGGGTAGAGGGCCCTTCTGCACGTTACCTGGCTCCATGCAGGTAACGTTACCTGGCTCCACGTTACCTGGCTCCATAAAGTACACCCACAACACCTTGAATTGGATGGGAAGCAAACCAGCACCCAATGCAGCTTGCACAGCAGTGGTGTGACATGCAGTTTTGGGGGCTGCCCAAAATTGCGCACATAACCACTTTATTTGATGCCTGTTGTAATTGCCTTTATCAACATGGGACTTCTCTTTGACTTTTATTCTACCTAGAAAGCAAGTCGTTTATGCTTGTAAAAGTTCTCTGTTGATGCTTTATGCACAGAGTTTAGATGTGCCAGCTCACTTGCATTTTTCTCTGCCTGGCCTGCTAGTAAATTGGATTTCCTAAATTTGACATTTTGGCTGTGGATCAGATTTAACTGGACTCAAATTGAAAGGTTCAGATTGAAATGTCCCTTCCAGCTTTTCTGTTTTTATAATCCTCTGGTTAATTAATAGCTCGTCTATGGTTCTTTTAGCTGCCCATACATCTGATATAGTTTTGTGATACACATTCATTAGCTAATTTCTCAGTTGAAATTAGCCTTAGCCCATTTGTATATGTTTGGGTAGAAAAGGAGAGCAATACAATGTCCCAAATACTGTTCTTGTGCATTCAGATGCTGTGCAAGATTTCTGCAAAGTTAGATGCTAAAAACTAAGAAGCTTAAGGGTTATTTTGCCTTCCAAAAGAGTGAAAAAATGAAAAAAACTTAATCTCAAATTTCACATTCTCTTTTTCCCTAGGAAAATATGTGATCCAGGCCTAACTTCGTTTGAGCCCGAAGCACTGGGCAATCTTGTTGAAGGGATGGACTTCCACAGATTTTACTTTGAAAACTGTGAGTAGAGCATTGCATTATATAAAAGTGAGCAATCCAGTTCCTGTGGCCCCAAAACATCCTTGAAATACATGGGTTTCACATTTTTGCCTCCCTTTTTTTTTGTTTCTGAACAGATTCTGAAGCAAAACTAGAGCCTTGATGGCTGAGCCTTCTAGAAGAGAAAGATACACACTTCATCCCATAAAAAACAGTCTCCCCACCCAAATTTGTGTTCAACTTTAAAGAGCAAAAGGGTGCCCCGAATTCCTTGCAAAAAACTACACTGAACTGAACTAAATTAAACAAGCTAAGAGAGATGACTGTTACCTGGTCTAGTCCTTCCTTTTATCATTGAGGATTTGTCTTTTTTGGTCTCCTCCTTTAGAGCAGCTGCCCAAATTAGATTTCTGCCTGCTCTAGCGGTTCAATTTTATCTAGGACAGCCTGGAGCCAGCAAATTTTAGAATAAAAAGCAAAAAAAGAAAAAAAGGAGGGGGGGTCAAAATTCTTTCCCTTAGGGGGTGTCCTTTCAAGTCCTAAAATAAAGAAAAAGTTCTCACCAAACCGGCACACTCTCTCTTTCCGTTCTCTTTCGTTTCGGAGCTGTCCCAACCTCAGCAGCTTTAATGGCTGTCTCTTTGCCGCTGGCAAAAAGAGCTTCTCCTGGATCTACCAGGGACTTTGCGATATCTCTGGGATCGACAGGATGCGCTCTTTACATTCACCATCTCTTCGGGATGGTTTAGATTCACTTGGACCATCCAGGAGCAAAGATATCGGCTGCAATCTCAGATCTCCAAGATCGCATGCCGTATCGTCGCGATGCCAGCTCTGCCCCCCCGGGGGGCGGGGGGGGGGGATCAAAATTGATAAGCACAAATAGCAACTAGATTAGTCCATCTAAAATCTTACTATAGAGCTTCTGCTAAAGCTTTGATGCTACATAACAGGATTTACAATATTATAGGTGATTTAAAAATTTTTATCCACCAGTAAAAAACCAACTACCTTACCAGCCATTGAGGCAAAAGTTTTCCTGCTTTTCCTTCCTTCACTTCAAGCCAAGTAGAATCCTAATCATGAGTACCTAATTAAGTCAAACATATCCAGTAAATCCACATCAGCCAGCAAAACCTGATTAAATCCCAATCAAATCAGCTATTTTTATTCCATCTTTATTACTTTTTATAAATAACCCAAGACAGCAAACATACCTAACACCCCTTTTTCTTCCTATTTTTCTCACAACAATAAGGCTGAGAAGTGGGTGAGGCTGAGAAAGAGTCTGGCCAAAAAGTCTCCCAGCCACTTTCATGCCTAAGGCAGGACTGAAACTCACAGTCTCCTGATTTCTAGCCTGATGCCTTAACCACTAGACCAAACAGGCTTGCGGGTTTTGTTTTTTTTCCTGAAAGAGAAGGGGCTAAAAATAACTTGCATTTCCTTGCTTCTCCTGCTGTACAGTTTCCTAACCAGTGTCCTGTTTGTGCCCTTCTAGTGTTATCTAAGAACAACAAGCCCATTCACACAACCATCCTGAACCCTCATGTGCATGTCATTGGGGAAGATGCTGCCTGCATTGCCTATATCCGCCTGACACAGTACATTGATGGGCAGGGCCGTCCTCGTACTTGCCAGTCTGAAGAGACCCGTGTCTGGCACCGCCGAGATGGCAAATGGCAGAATGTCCACTTCCACTGCTCGGGAGCTCCGGTGGCCCCACTCCAGTGAAGGTACGAAGATAGCAAATGGGTAGCTAAATTCCATTTCTGGGAACGATCAACTGAGGTGTTAGTGTTGGTCGGTATGGAGCACATGCTTGTGTTGGATTTGAGAGAGAATGGATCCATGCAAGATCCAATTGAGAGCCATTTTTCTGGTATGTGAAGCCCTTTTATAGACGGGTATGCAAATAGCAATAGCACTTAGACTTATATACCGCTTCGTAGTGCTTTACAGCCCTCTCTAAGCTGTTTACAGAGCTAGCCTATTGCCCCCAACAATTTGGGTCCTCATTTTACCCACCTCAGAAAGATGGAAGGCTGAGTCAACCTTGAGCCTGGTGAGATTCGATCTGCCAAATTGCAGGCAGCTGGCTGCAACAGAAATAGCCTGCAATACTGCACTCTAACCACTGCACCACCTAGGCTCTCTCATGTTAGAATATTCCATTCTAACCTCAAAATTAACTCAGCCACTCCAAAATATTAGGCTGAATGTGGATGATCCTCTGACTTTGCTTCTGGTGGGCTTGCAGCTTTCCCCTGGTTTTTTCCCAGTTTATTTAATCAACTAAGAGTGGGCAACTCTGGTTTTCAAGAATGTATATGCATGCAATCACTCTGCTTAAATGAAGCTGAAAGAATCATTAAAAAAGGACTATTGTATCATTATTTAGTTTTGAAGCAGAGTTTCAAGCTCTGGCAAACTTCTAGAAAAGAACTAAGTGCTTGAAGAAGGAGAAAAAGGAGTGGCAGTGGTGTTCTTCTAACATAGCCAGTGAGCAGGTGCCTATTGCAAGAGAGATGAAACATGACTTCTAATCAGTTACAGGTTGTTCTTGAGTTACGACCAGAATTGGGGCCAGAATTTCCATTTATAACAAACTGGTTATCAAGAGAGGCATGCCTGATTTTATGACCATTTTTACCATGGTTGTTATATGATTGGCTGCAGTCGTTAAGGGAATAATGTGGCCTTTAAGCCTAGCTGACTTCCTTGTAGAGTTTGTTTGTTAGAAGCCGGCTGGGAAAATCACAAATTGTGACCTCAGGACATTGGAGCCAACATAAATACATGCCAGTGGCCAATTTTGATCACATGGTCATGTGGATGCTGAGAAGATTGTAAGTGTGAGGACTGGCCATAAGTCACTTTTTTCTCAGTGCCATTGGAACTTGGAAGAGTTGCTAAATGGATTGCTGTAAGTCAAGGACTTCCTCTATTAAGTGTTAAGGTGATCCAACTTTTACAGTAAAAGAGGTTTCTTTAGAATTTGATTTTAATCAGGAAATAGTTAGATGTGTCTACAATTCCACTAATGTCCAGGCTCAGGGCTGAAACTGAGTTATGCATAACAGCCTCAGGATTGTGAAAAACAGGGACCAGATCTCTGCATTGTGTGTGGTTGCCTGCTTTGTGGGCAGAATGGGACAACTCACTGTGGCCAACTCACTGCGGGACAACTCAACAATTCATTTTAAGTATTTAAAATTGTTTTAAAACTATTTTCATTCACATTTTCTTTTTCATCCTTTATTTAATGATTCTATTCCACCATTTCTTCGATATTAGTGTAATTAGTGTCCTGCGATGAGTTAATCCCACAGTGATCTGGCTGCAGCAAGTTGGCCGTGGCAAGCTGTCCCACAGCAAGTTAGCAGGGGAGAGTTGTCCCAGACCCTCTCTTGGGGTTCTTGAGCTGTTCCTCACGATGTCTCCATTTCTGCTTGTCTTTCAGAATTCATGCTGGCTGTTCTGATTTCATCCCAAAGGAGATGGTGATTTCAGCTGAGCCACTAGCCGGGAGCAGCAGTGACAAGCACGCGCCCGCATGCTCGTGTCCCCCCGTTCCCTCTCCTTCCCCTCTTTCATTTCCAGTGCCTGTGTTTGCAAAGAGAGAGAGCGAGAGAGACAGAGAGAGACAGAGAAACACCTAAGAAAAACAAGAATCCAAGTAGACTCAATTGTTTTAAAAAAGAAGAAGAAGAAGAAGAAGCAAACCCAGCCAAACCCATCCAGCTGTCTGACTTGCAGCCCGACTATAATGCACTCACCATCCCTATCAATTCCATTTTTCTTTTTTTCCTTTTGGTGTGCAGCTGTTCAGGTGACCAGATGTTGCAGTGAAAAATGTCTCAACTTCAAAAAAACAAAACAAAAAACAGATCCCATCTCCTCCCTGTATCCATCCCAGTGTTGAACAGTGTTCATTTGTTTAGTGAATACACACTTACACACACACACACACACACACACACACAAACATTTAATTTACCAGATCTTGGTTCAGCGGGCTTCAGATGCAGTGGACAAAATATGTCTGTGCACTTTTTTGCATCTGCTCCTTGGCTGTTTTGACACATGTGTAAAATATACATTTGCCATTTTACACATGTATTTAAAAAACATTGCATTTTGCAATTTTTTTAGATGTGGTGAACATCCCTTCCCCCATGAGTTTGTTAAATCCAGGATCTATTGTAAATATATATACATATAACGCGTGTGTGTTTGTGTGCATGTGTGCATGCACAAACACATACACATAGCCAAACACAGAGCCCCCTTTTATAGTATTTGCATTCTCTGCCAAAAGTTCGGGCCTTTTCCCTCTGGTTATTGTGTTCGCGCTTGGAAGTTTGTGATCAGTGCTACCATTTTGTTTTGAAGAAGACCCCGCCCCTCCAAGCCCCTTCATTTCCTTTCTTCTCTAGCTGTAGTTGTGGGTTATGATGATGCTAATTATTCAACCTCTTCATTTGTTTGTTTCCTTTGAATAGAGGGAGGGGGATCCTATTGGTGGAGGGGTTTTGCTTTTTGGGCTCCTCCCAGGCTAACACCACTGCCAATGATTTTCTGGTAGGCTCATGACTGCATCCATTCTGATAGGTCTGTAGATGACGCATAGCACCGCCTTGGAGTTACATATAGGCCTCACTGCAGACTTTTGGATACCTGCGTTCTCGTAGCACTTAACATTCTACTAGCATCTTGATCCTGATCTCTCAACAAGGGCTACTAACACTGGAGTTGTACTTGTGTCCCTACTGTAGTTTATTATGAAGGTGGGGATTGCCCTTGCTTAGTGGGATTGGCTGGAACGTTGTAATGTTGCTTCAAGGAGCTAGCGAGAAAAGAGTCAATAGTGTTAAATCTCAGCCTTATCTAGTGCTGGGAAGCTAACTATCTGTCCAGCAGAACGAGGAAGAGATGCTTTCTTACACTCTGTAAATGCTCAGCCCCCCCCCCCTTTTCTCATCCCTCTTTACCTGTGTTGACGTAAAAGGAATAGAAAGTGACTATTTTGGGGAGGGGGTGCTTGAAGTTCTTAACAGCCTAGAAGAAAAAAAGCTGGTCAACATAAAGTTGCATAGGCCATTCATTCACCTCCATTCTCTCTCTCTCTCTCTCTCTCTATCTATCTATCTCTCTCTCTCCCCCTCTATCTCTCCCCCCTCTCTCTTCCCTCTCTCTCTCTTCCCTCTGTGAATTTACCTGCAAAGAGAGCTGGGTAACAGCAAACTTTGAGAAAATTGCTCTTCAGGGAGCTCTAGATTCTGGAACTGACTCAACAGGTGGCCCCAAATAAGCAAAACCAAAGGGGGCAATTCTCCCCATGGACCAAGTTGTAACAGAATGCAATGGAAGGTGGCGTTGTAGGGTCTTTTGTTGGCCGAGGCTGGTGTGAATGATGTCAGATGCTGTGGAGCACTTGCTTCAGCTGCCCCAGGTCCCAGTGGAAGATGTCAACCGTTGTCTTCTGCTCGCTACATTTTCATGCCAGGAGGCTCATATTGGCCGTAACAGATGTACAGTGTGGCATCTGCCAGAATGTATTGATAAGAAAGCTGTTTTCTTCTAATGGTCTTTCCCCTCCCTCCATCTTTAAATATTCACAAAGGAGATACCTTCTTCCTCCCCAGTGGCTTACTCAGCATTCCACAGCTTCAACTGTGGTTCCCCTTGTATTCAGAGGTTAATTAGGTCCTTGTGACTACAGAGGGGGAGGCTGAAGTACTTTGCTACAATGTACAGGGCATAAATCTCTATTTTGCCAAGTGGAAATTCACATTGTTGATTCCTGCCAGGAAAGATTTCAAGGCAAAGTTTAATGAAGTGGTTGCTTTGAAGGGATTTTTCTAGTAATCTCTCTAGAGATGGAGACACAGAAAAGTGGCATAAGTTTATTTCAGTGAGCTTTGCTTCCGAGATGGTACGTGAAGGTGTATGGGTTGCGCCCACGGCATCAGTTTAAATGAGAAATCAAGTAGGTTGATGTCAAGAACTCCAGACTTAGAACTGGGTGATGGATTTGGGTCTTTTGAAATCCTACTTTTCTTACCCATTTAAAGCTTGGAGGTTGTTTGGCCAGTCACATGTACTTCTTGTTAACACTCTTGTTTTGTAGCTTGCTTCCAGTCATCCTGTTGTTTATTTAAATGGCAGATTCTAGGTGACTCCAGGGATGATAAGAGGGTCATAGAAAGACAGATCCCACATTGCAAATTTCTCCTTCAACCTTTGGATAGTTAGATGTATCTGAAATACTTGCCCCAAAAGATGCTGAGAAGAATTCTTCCTATATGCTTTAGAAGCTAATAAAGTCTCTTCTGTGTGTTTCTCTTACCTCACCTGTGCCCTTCTGTGGGCTTTACATTATCTCTGAGTGGTGGATGTTCCCATGTCTGTAATAAAGGTGGTTTCCCCGAACTTAGGGGAGTTTAGTTAGTTTTCATATATTCAAACAGTACTCAGAAAATTTGCATGCAGAAAATACAGTTGTTTCTAACTTATTTTTATTCCAGAGATAGAATTTATGGACAAAGCCAGATCTTCAACTTTTTATAAATTAGAAATTACATAACAAACATTAGTTTACTATATTAAAACAGGACTGGCAAACAAGATCTGTCAGGAATGGAAAGAGTGTTAGCCACTAGACTGCACTGCCTTCCTTCCCTGTTCATATGAAAGCAAAGTAAATGTTCCTAGGTCTCAAGGGTTTTCCTCTCTCTATAAATTACAGTTTTTGCCTTCGGAGGAACATCTGTCACCAAAACAAAGGTGTTGATTTCCTAGGACTGTTGATTGCGGAGCAAGATTGTTGAAGGTTGCACAGGAAATCCACTGTAAGTGATGTGAGCTAAGAATAAATGGGAAGGCAAGGCCACTTTTGGAATGAAAGGTTGAAGTGCTATTTTGCATAACACAAAAAAATTAGTTTAGAGGCTAAAAATCCCCAGAGACTTTTTTTAATTAGATAAAAACTATTTTTGCAGTGTCTCAATCAAATGCATCACCGCTTGAATTCCCCAAGTATCCATTACTTTACGATTTAATGCAAATAGAATTAATTTAGCATTTCAGTCTGATGTAAATAATGCAAAATTTCAATCCCAGTATTGTTCTTAGACCTCACATAGTCTCTCCTGATAGAGAAGAGTGAATGTAACCAATTTCAAATGCATTTCTTTTTTTTCTAATCTAAAGTTTGCTATCTCATCTTTCCCCATGTCAGCTCATGATTTTTCCCCTAAATTTTTTGTGCATGGTTTTAAATATATTTTCCTTTAGATACAAATGAGAGGTAAATGATAAGTTAGCTCTTGGACAGTTGATTTAAATTGAAAGCCACTTTATAAACCCTTTATCTAGGCACAAGCCATACAAAGTTTTCTTAAGTAGATTTATTGTAAGGGACAATACAAAGTTACAAGGATTTCAGCAATTAAATATTTCCTACAGGAGCCCATTTATCTTCCAAGTCATGCTAGAAAATTTTGATATCTTTTCTTCTAATCCTCTGGTTCTCAGTATTTGTAGCACAACTAGCTACTCAAATGTTCAACATATTTATGTGCCTTCTCAGTGAATAAGGTATCTCATTGGGATTAAGGTCAGACAGGAATAAACAAGTAATTTTTCACAATTAACATTTAACTTAAATAAAACCACAGAACTATACGTAGGTTGTAAAATAAAATGAATAAAATTATTGAATGTCACTCATATAATCATTTATATAGACACACCAGATGTGGCTATAATGCTACTTAGCATACTAGCAGAGATAACAGAGAGCCATATTTCTAGGGAAACTGAACTAAATAAATGGCTAAAATCAAGTAATAATTAGCCAGATGATCAATAGTTTTACTTATGCTCTGCAGAAATTAAGAGTTTCGTTCATTTCAGCTGAAACAGAGACAATACTTTGTTTTAATCAAAATGAATTATAAACCCTTTCTATTGTTGACCCACTGATGGATTGTAATGTTTAAATGATTGGTAAAATAACTCTACATTACAAAAAATATTTTGAAAATAGCATTCTGTGATTTATACAACTATTTAAATTAAATAATACAACATTGCTGATGGTTTATAAATCCCATATGCCACCACAAGTAGAAAACCAATTATGTAAGGTGGGTGCTACTTAAGCTCAACTACTATGCGTGAGAAGCATTAAAAAAAACCTGGGGGATTACAATAAGATCTGTGAAGTCCCTATCCTTATTTGTTGCATTTTAGTGTGCATTTCTTAAACTACAAACTGTCATGCAAAAATTCAGAAACTTGTCTTGGTCTCACGGAAGCACCCTTGCTTCTAAAACATGTGATCAGAGGGCAGCAAAGTTGTATGAAAACCTTGTGTAATTTTCATCAAAGTCAAATACAACCTTTCTGAATCTTAAAGACATCATATATTACAAATTCCAAATTTCCCAGCAAACACATCCAATAGCCTTCACCTGAGAATGCTATGAGTTGCAGTCTAAGGAAACTGGCAGACAACAGGTAAGGGAAGACTGGCCCTGCTATTCAGAAGGGAGCTCACTTATGTGGGTCACTAATGTATCCTACCAGTTTAAAGAATTGAGCTGTCAACTGTCCCACTATGTCCCACTATGCAGCAAAAGAAACTCCTGGACATTATTTTACCAAGTGAATAAATGTATTAATAGATCCATATAGACACAGTAGAAAGCAAAACCCGTTTTGACTTTGTGCATGAAAACCTGCCTAGTTAAAATCCTCTTTTCACCCCCTGGGCCACCCATTCTCCCGTGTTGTCCAATCCAGTGCAATCTCTTTCTTTTGGGAAATAGTCTGCTTACCTCAAAAGGCTCTCATCATTTGACCTTGAGGTGTCAAAATTCCCCCAGGTCATGGACAGTGCACATGAACGCCTCAATTCCCTCCCAGCCACCCATAGATTCCAATCATTCCTTCCTCCTCCCTAGGTTTATGTTGCATGGCTGCAAGTGAAAGTGCAATTATATGAATTATATGAAAGCGGAATTATATGTAATATAATTAGATATATTACAATTTAAGTCTTCACAAAAACAAAAATGTGTCTCATGAGCCAGGTTGTAGTAGTCTCAAAAAAAAAAAAAAATCAAACCAACTGATTTTTAAAATTGATGCTGATGGAGAACAAAAATTGAATTGATGACTGGACCCAAGTTTTACTATTGGCAATTCCAGTATTTATATTTATAAAAAAGGTGATCTCATCACATCTTGTATGTAATCAAGTATATGCAAATTTATTGTGCTAGTCTTGCCAACATTTAATTCTGCAAAGTTTAACAATACTTGGCTCTTGTCCAAGTGATAAACCATTAATAAAGGAAGTCAAATGAGCAGCCAGCTTATTTGCAGGTCTTGCTTCTGCACTGACACTATCCCTTCAACCTGTGGTGACTAAGATTCATAACATCAGAAGAACATGTTTAGAGAGGGGATGGCCACTGCTGTTAGGATGGGAATAAAAAAGATGACAAGTTGCATTTAGTCACAAAATAACACCAACTACTGTAGCTTTTCCCCTAATCGCCAATCACACTTTCTGAAAGACAACCCATACTTCAGTTTGCAACCAGTGTTATACAAGCCACCTAATTGCTAAAATTGAGCAAAAATCAGATGAGAAGGCCATGCGACCATAGAGCTTGTGAAAAAAATGAGTCTTATACATGAGACCAGTTGCAAATGTCCTGGTGGACGTGTGCTTGCCCGACCCCCAACTTATCTGTTATGGTGGCTGGCAAGAGATCTAGAACTCTTGCTGAACAGTTATGCCTGCAGTGAATGACAGGAATATTGTTAATTCTAAGGAAGCCATTCCTAACCACCCTTCATTCCCAAGTACTTCAGATTAAACCTACTTTGTGCCTACCTACCTTGCCTTGCTTTTATCCTATTACAAGTGTACTACTCTTATATTTTTTGTAGTCTCATATATGAAACTGATGGGTTTCATTGCTTATATTGCTTTGTGCTTTGTGGGAGAAACTTGTCTGAATCTTAAAAAAAAAAAAGAGTCATTGTATTTCAATCGGCTCCCAGTACAAGAAACACAACTTTGCATGATCTGATGCTTTGGGGATTCAGTATCTTAAAGCTAGATTGATTGCATGTACTTGGCAAGAACAGTCAAAAATAGACTGAAAATACATTAAGAGTATGAGCACACCGAGGACAATGTGCCATTGTAACTATGACTTCAGTTGAGATTTGGAAGGTACTAGAGATGCCAAACTACCTCCCAGAGAGAGTTATGTGCTTGGTCAGAAATTTGTACCTGTTGGGCTAAAGAACACAAATTGGCAATATTTTTGAGCAAAAAGGTTTGTTCTTCTGGAGAGCGATGGTTGCTGTCAGAAACCAAAGCTGAATTTTGAGAGAATGGACTAAGGGATTAGCTGAGCTGGGATGGTGTGATGTAGTGTCCTTAACAAGTGGCATGATTATTGCTATTCCCTGTGCATGTTCTAAGGGAGTTGCTTCTGGTGTCATTTCTGTAGTGTCCCATCTAATTTTGTTACTATGGTGCCCCAGTTCTTTGCCCCACAATGATACTGCTTTCTAGTATGACTAATGTGATGGCTTGCTTGTCTTGTCATCCTACTATGGCTGGTATGCAAAAATGATAATACAAATTTCAGTGTTGTGTATTGGCTGCCTACAAGCAGGGTAATCCACATCCCAGGGACACAACAGAAGAAGCTCTAGGGCCCGGTGATCATTTTACTGTGTGATGGAAAGGACCAATGAGAAGAAAACACAAGAGTATTGAATTGCATACCTGTTTTTTAGACATTCCTATGCAAATTCACATCCTTGAACATCTTAAAGCAATCCATATGGTTGAAAGTTTTAGCAACTGGAGCTCATGATGAACTATTGAAATAGAAGACTTGGTTCCTGTTTGGGTTGACAACAAGCATCTTAATTCCATGGAGATGCTGCACCATGGTGGACATGATAGATTTTAAGTGACTCTTTCACTTGAAAATAGGGGGGAAGCATTTGGGCAAGCATTATTTTGTGCCTTATGGCTAGACTGTAGTTCAGTGGTTTAGACTATGTTCAGGCAGATCTCACCTGTCTTTGCACTTTAGTTGTTTCTTCCATCTAAAACTGCTCCTGTAGCACTGACAGCTGCTTAAGATCCATAGTTTCCCCGCTGGTTACAATAACCAAGGGCTCGGTTGCTCCTTGCGGTTGATAGTGGAAAAAGAAGCCTCTCTCAATCTCTCTTGATATGGTCTTGAATTTTTGAGGCAAGCCTGAGGCCATCGACTCATTCCACCGTTAAGCGTGAGCAACTTGAGAAGAGGAAGGAAGCGCAGTTGTACGATTGTGCAAACCTGGCAGTTGGAGGCCTTTTAGCATGGAGACGTTTCGTAGCATTCAGGTGCAGCCTTAGTCCAGGTTCTCCTTGTAGATCATCCCCATCATCTCAATGCAGTATTTTGCATGGCTAATGAATGTAAAAGATAATTGGACCAAGAGAGAACGATGGAACAGGGGAGGGAGGGGGGAGGGAGGTGTGAGCAGGCATTGGGGGGGGGAATGTCCCACCAGCACTGATAATAGCGTTGAAAGCACTTTATATTGAGAGATTAAATCTCTTAACAACTGCCCAGTCCTGAGATTGGGCTTTGCACTGCACCACCGTAATGGCTGGAGTGGCATTCAGCGGAGCACAGGGGTGCAAGAAGACTTCAATCTTGCTCCTTTTTCTAGATGAAGCTTAAGGGGTGGGGGGGGCTTGTATTGTTTCCCTCCCCAACACAGTTGTGTCCTGTGAGCATGCTGAAGAACAGGAGGCAGGCTGCTTGCTGGGATTTAGGTCAAATATCTTTCCCCCCCCCCTCCATACACAAGACACCCGCACCGACACTCACAGCTAAAGTGGGGCTGTGGTCCCATCAACCTCCTGCACGCGCACATACACGGGGAAGAAGTGCTTCCAAGACAGGATTGTCCAGGGAGGAGACAGTGTTTAGAGCCAGTCGTTTCCAGCTGTTTTGCCTTTGCACCCTTGCGTTTAAACTTTTTTTTTTTTTTTTTGGCATTTCTTTTTTCAAGGGGAGGAGTTGGAAATGGGGGAGGTGGGTATTCGAATAAACATGCAAAAAGGGAGATTTCACAGTGGGGGGGGGGCATAATATAATATGCTTGTATGGTTTTCTGTGGAAGACTAACTTGAGAAGTGTCTCTACATCCATGTATATGAAAAAACTTACAAGCCGCATGTTGAAACAGGTGTTTCATTATTAAACATTAATGTACCAGGGTTGCCTCCCCTTTGATGTTCACCTTGTTTACTGTGGAACTCAGTACATTGCTGGGGGTATTTTTAGACTGGGGGAGGGGGTTGAATTTTCTTTTGCATGACCTTAAAGAGAAGCAAAATCTGTGTGTGTGTGTGTGTACACACACACACACACATATATCTCTCTAGTGAGAACTAAAAGCAAAGCTGAGCTGTTAAGTCTGTTCTATGAATGCTGGTGGATCTTTTTTCTTCTGACTTAACTTTCCCTTTCCTTTTCTTACCATTTCACTGTCTTTTCTTTCTGAGCCTTGTAAGTGTAAAAAAACCCCAACCAATTCTGACTTTGTTTTTGTCTCAGAGAACTGCAAATAAAATAAAATTTAAAAAGAAACACATGCACACACCCAAACATGAAAAGGGGACTAGAAACATTAGGGGGGGGGGGGAAATGTCTTGAGTGTGTTTCTGAGCTTTTATAACAAGCTTTCTTTTTTCCGTATCCTGCTTTCTACATGCTACCAAGTCGATTTTAATATAAAAATGCAGCTGTCAGCCTTCCTAGGGAAGTAAAGAAGGAAAATATTCTCTGTTTGCAATACACACTTGAAATCTGCGTTCATGTTTTCGAGCATTTTACGACTTTGCCACAGTTAAATGAATCACTCCAGTTCTTAAATTAGTAGCACCGTTGTTAAGTGAATCTGGCTTTCCCATTAACTTTCCTTGTCAGAAGGTTGCAAAAGGTGATCACATGATCCTGCAACTGTCATAAATGTGTCAGTTGCCAATCATCTGAATTTTGATCACATGACCATGGGGATGCTGCAATGGTCATGTGAAAAATGGTCATAAATCCCTTTTTCCAGTGCCGCTATAACTTTGAACAGTCACTAAATGAACTGTTGTAAGGCGAGGACTACCTGTATTGATCAGAATAATATCGATCATTCCAGGAAAGCTTGAATTGATGAGTACTTTCAAGTGAAGCCTTGTGCAGTGTCCCAGCCTCCTTCAGGAAATTTTATTTGTGGAGGATCTAAGTAGACTTTGGCCTGCTCTGCCTCTGTGAGAGGAGAAGATTCCTAAGGTTGGGCTAGCTGCACTAGATCCCATTGAGAATATAACATTAAATGCAGCAATTTAAGATAGTCATTCTTCGTTGATCATTTGACAGACAGGCCAGATCTGCTTGAGTGTCATTCAGCTTCAGGTTATAGTTCTTGGTTCCCTTATTTATCACATATGATCATAGAAAATACCTGGTGGGTATTGGAACAAGCTGCTTTAAGGTTTAAATACTGTTTTTCAAAGCAACCCTCAGCTAGATTGGCACAATAAAATATTCAACTAAAATAGGGTTGTTTCATAGTTTGGGTGTTGGGGAACTCTATTATCTCATGGGGTGGCTCACCAGGTAAGGCACTGGCCTTGTCGGCTGGAAAAGCCAGCAGCTCAAATTCAAGCCCTGGGTGCCCTGCAACGGGGATGACTTCCCATCTTTGCCCCAGCTCCTGCCAACTTGGTGGGAAGGTAACAGTGTTCTGCGATGTCATGCTGGTCACATAGCAGCAGAAATGTCTTCAGACTGCATTGGTTCAATGGCCTTGAAACAGAGATGAGCACCATCCTGTCCCCTACAGTCAGCAATAATAACAGGTGAAGTAAAATCTGCAGGGACTCGTTTTTACCTTCTACCTTATTACCACACGAGGTCCTAATTTTTGGTCATAATAGAAATTGTTGGAACATTGTTAAATACAACATACAGGCATGGAGTTCAAAAATATGCAAACGCAGCCAGTTTTTCTGGAAGAACATATTGCAATATTGGAAGCATATCTAACAATTGCACCCCTGTGAGAAATATGACCAACTAAAATCCCCCCAGAGTTAATAAGACACAACCAATTCTAGATGATCAAGTGACAACTTTATAGATATATTCCAATAACCAGTACATACAGACATTAAGCAATATTTATTAAAATACAATCTTTAGTAAAAGCTTCCACATTAGAAAGAGGTTAGGAATTCATGAGCCTAAGGGGCAAAAAAAATATAATGCAAGCAAGTTTCTAGAGTACTGTACATTTCAAATCACAGAATGAGAGGAGGAGGACTCATTTTCTTTTACAGCAAGTAGTAGCGAAACTCACTGCAGTGTTCCACCTACCCTCTTAATCTTTCGGAGGAAAGTTAACAGTCCACAAGGAACTGACCACTGCAGAAATGGACTTCACAGAAAATACGACAGCCCTTAGGTTGATGCATCTGAAGCAGACATTGGAGGAAGAAAAAGAATTAAGGCTGGTGATTTCTGGCACCACAAGGGTGCTGCATCAGATCTGCCAAGGCAGCCTCTGCACGAGTTCTTTCAACCAGGTGTCTTCCCCCAAAAAAGACCTCACAAAGCAAAGTAGCCAAGTTGTCAAGTCCCAAGAAGTACCCAGTCAAACAGAAATGTGTTCAAACCCCAGGTTGCTGACTTGTTCCACTTTACTGTACTGACTAAGTTGATGAATATATATAAATTGCACGGAAGTTGGCTCAATAAGTTATCAAGAGCTGATGCAACTGTGCATGACGGACACGTTTTAAGAAAGGAACAATGCAAGCCATAAATACAATTTCTCAGAGTCACATCAGGAACCTTCAACTTTGCCTTAAATTGCCTTTTGTCATTCTGGCATTTTGTCTTCTTGGCACTAACTGGTTCCTTGCTAATGGGCAAGGACAACTTCCTGGTTTTTTACGTCTCTCTTCTGGAATGGAGAGATGGCTCAGTGAGTGATGTCAGTTTATCAACGGAGTTAGGAAAGCTGTGCCCAAGATGTTACATCTTCAGCCTAGAAGATGGACATCTGTCCCTACTGGATTAATATATCGGAGGAGTGATCATTCCACCATGGGTGGGTGTGCACAAACATGCCATTGAAGGGCAAAAGCTCCAAGTGACATGTTTTTCCTATTGCCTAGCTGAATTGCTTCACAAAGGACTCCTGGTTGGGGATCAGCTGACTTTAAGGGACATGGTGTGCAGACATGTCCAACCCACTTACAATAAAGCAAAACATTGGGAAGGAAGGCAGAAATACAGCTGTAGAACGGTAACCCTACCCACCCTGGCCTCCACCCTACAAAAGACAGAATGGGCCTTAGAGCCGAGATGCCACTGACAGAAAGACAAAAGCATTAAATAACATTTCCTACACTTACACAAAACCAGCAGGGACAAATTCTCCGACCATGGGAGAATACAGTCTTGGCCAAAGACACCACAAGACAACGCCAAGCTGCGTGGTTGCAGCAACGAACACACTGAGACCCAATACAGGATAGCTCATACTCTACAAGGCTCTGGTATAATGGCGAGTGTAAAACAGCAGCTTATTCTTTTGAAGGCAGCATGTTCAAGGAGGGCTGCTTACCAGGGCAGGTTCATCATCAGGACAGCAGCCATAATACATAGAGTGGGAAGGTATCCCGGGATTGCAATACAGCTCCCCATTCATTCCGCGTCCTGCTGAATGGTGTAGTATCACCAAACCATCAGCTTAGATGAGTTGCCAGCTTTTCATCAATAAACCCAACCTAAACAAACTGGAATATCCAAGAGCAACTGAAATCCTGGGTTTGATCAGTGGCAACGATACCGGATAAAAGAGGGAGCTAAATGCTGCTACTTATATCCTTGGCAAAAACAAAACAAATTCTTGGTTTGGGAAGGTTGGGAAGAAGTTTCCCACCTAAAATCAAGAGAAAACTTAAAAGCATGTACATATCTATATTAGTCCTAAAACCGCTTTCCCACTTCTTTGGAGTAAAGTATAATTCTATATTACAAAGTATAATCAGTTCTTGAGCTGCATTAGAGATCTTTTTTCTTTTTTTCATGCAGAACGCAGAGATCCATGTTCTTTGAACAATTCTGAATGGGTTCAAAACGGATTGGGTTTTGCTTCACTTCCAAAAATCAGCACCCAACATTTTAAGACACAAGGACACTATGCAAATCCTGGAAAAAAGGCATTTCCAGATGGCCAAACTCTTTTTCTTACTCTTAAGTATGCACGAGTCTACATCTGTTTGTAGTTTTGGAAAGGAGAGCAGCAAATCCCCACACAGATATCAGCCAATGACCAAAACAGGAATGTGTGTAAGCACCAGGATCCATTCTCAACTCCCTTTGTGTCACCAACCTAATATCCCAGATACACTCTTGCCATGAAAGTTCTTTTTTTCAAATAAGGTTTCAATTTCATGGAGCCCCCCCAACATGGTAGCCTATTTCTTGCCTCCAGTGTGGCTGTGACGGCTGAATCTGGGAACATCAGCTGCTGCTGTAGTTACATGTAGGTGCTGCTGCCTCTCTCCAGGAGTCATGAAATCCAATCCAATCCAGATAGTCCAAAGCGGTGGTGAAGGTACACGGTGGATGGAGTCACATGATGTCACAGCATGAATTCTGCTTCCGGGCCTTCCATGTCAGGAGAGGTGGGAAGAAACACACACTTATTACAGGTAGTCCTTGACTTACAACAGTTCGTTTAGTTCGAAGTTACAACGGCACTGAAAAAAGTAACTTATGACGATTTTTCACACTTATGACTGTTGCAGCATCCCCATGGTCACGTGATTTACATTCAGATGCTTGACAACTGACTCATATTTATGACAATTGCAGTGTCCCAGGGTCATGTAAACCCCTTCTGCCACCTTCTAAGAAGCAAAGTCAATGGGGAAGCCAGATTCACTTAACAACCGTGTTACTAATTTAAGAACTGCTGTGATTCACTTAACAAATGGGGGGGGGGTCATAAAAGGGGGTAAAACTACTTAACAAATTTCTCACCGAGCAACATAAATTTTGGGCTCAATTGTGGTCATAACTTGAGGACTACCTGTAATTATTTATATTAGGATTTATTATTGAGAGATGTCTCCTTGGGGGAGTGTGGAAGCTGCAGTCCCTTTCCATGATGGAGAGCTATCCTGTGAATCCATGTGTCAAAAAATGCACTCCTATGCCAGTTTTATATATATTATTGGTCATGGGTACCTTTATAAGGCACTCTTCGGTTTAAAAACTCCAAGAGTTGCTCATAAATTATACAAACAACTCTTTAATAATGAAAAATTCCAGTAACATCAGAATGAGTGACAAGGTAATGCGAGTGGTACTTCCATCATAATCTACATGAGTGCACTGGGGGAGGGGAGCTGTGTGGGTGGAAATAATGCTTAAAATATTAAAACTTTACTTTTAGGAATCTGAACTTTACTTCAGATTCCAGCCTCTGGCTTGTAAGTAACGTTCTTTGACATGTTTTTGTTTCTTAACCCCGCTGGCTTTTGGAAAGGGGGGGCTTTTGTAACTGTCCATTGTGGCAGCCATTTTGCTAGAATAACTACAGAATTTGCAAAATGACTAATATTGCCCACTGATGTGAAAAAAATTGGGAGGCCTTTTGCCAATGGTTCTCATAACATTAAACTTGCTCTTCTCCAAATTCTACTCACTTATTACAGGTAGTCCTCAACTTACAACTGTAACTGAGCCCGGAATTACAGATAGTCCTTAACTTACAACAGTTCCTTTAGTGACCGTTCAAAGTTACAACAGAGCTGAAAAAAGTGACATGACCGCTTTTCACAGTACAACCTTTGAAACAATCCCCATGGTCATGTGATCAGAATTCATATGCTTGGCATTGCAAAATGAAAAAGGTCTTCTGCAGTCAGGACACAAGCCTAAGATTGAAAATCTTGTCAGATGTTACATCTTTTCTATCCCGCTCTATGGAGTGGAGAATTGGTCTCTGACAGAAAGTCAGCTGAAGAGACTCAGAAAGTCAGTTGAAGAGCATTTGATATGTGGATTTATAGGCGGCTATTATATATAAGCTGGGTTGACAAAATTAGAAATGAGGTAGTGATAAGCTGTCTGGGAAAGCCAAGGGAAATCATCAAAACCATAAAAAAATAAAAGCTAGAATATTTTGGACATGTGATGTGACACCTGAAAAAATACGGCATACTTCACTTCATCCTCCAGGAAAGATTAAAGGCAAACAAGGTCCAGGTAGAAGAACCACCTCAGGGCTTCAAAATCTAAAGGACTGGTTTTGACAAAACTCAACAGCATTTTTTCGTGTGGCTGCTGATAAAAATAGGATCGCCAATGTGATCGCCAACATCAGATGACAGATATGGAGGAGGGAGGAGGAGGAGGAGGGAGGAGGAGGAGGAAAGAGGAAGGAGAAGGAGGCAAGTGGTTGATACTTATGATCATTGCTATGGTCCAAGGTCACGTGATCCCCTTTTGCGAAGCCAGGCTCACTTAACTCATCAATTGCAGTGATTCACTTAACAAATGTGATGAAAAAAGTCATAAAATGGGGCAAAACTCACTTAACAAATGTCTCACTTACCAACATAAAATTTGGGCTCAATTGTGGCCGTAAGTTGAGGACTACTACTAAAAGTCATGCTGGTCATGAATTGGGTTATGATTTTGTGAAGTTTTTGTGGTGGTTGTTAAGCAAGTGCACTGTACACAAGTGCAAGTGTACACAATGGACACTTTTTGCTAAAAGCAAATACCAGTTTCTGACCAAAAAAATTGTACCTTAATCATTTGACAGTGAGATCCTTCAAATGTCAATAAAAGCTATCATAAAAAATAAAATAAAAGTCATCAAACACTTAAAATATGATCATGTGATCACAGGGGGAGGCACAGCTGTCAGAACTTCGACTCTGGGTTGTAAGTAGCCCTGGCTACATCCGTTGTAACTTCTAAGGCTCACTAAGCAACCAGTCATAAATTGAGGACTACCTGCATAATAAGGAAGCTTTGCATTCAGTAACAATTTCATTCTACTCAAAGGCATCTTTTACCAATCTTTATGCACTTTCCCAATGAGTAACAGTTTTTTGTAAATGTATATTCATAAATAACTACTACTACTGTATTTTGGCTCTAAATGTGATGTATTAACATTACTATCTCCCGGCATTTGCCCTAAAGATGCTTTTCAAAAGGTGAGTTGTTGAGGCCACTTGGGGGTTTATCTGTGTCCTCAGAGTCTCTTGAATCAGAGTGCAAATGGCCGTGGAACGTTCTTGGGACTGCTGAAAGGACCATGCCATAGATAAGAGATAGATGGTGTCATATCCACCCCCCTCTGTTGAGAGAGGGCTGTTCAATTTTAACCTAAGATGGTCTCTCTTTCAAACCAGTGAAAACAAAACCTTTTCAAGGGAAAAAACAAGAAAGCTCAGTTGCCTTTTGAAAAGCAACTTTGGAACAAGTGAGACCTGAATGATTGAGAATCTCCATAGACACTTACGGCATTTGATTTTGCAGGCCACAATCTCCACTGACTAAAAACAACCCATACATTTATTGCCTCATAAATAATTGCAGGAAGATAGGAAACACTGTCTATATTACAGAACACTGGCCCAAATATACTTACAGTTTTGTAAAAGGCTTTTGACTGATTTCCAAGAATCTCTGACTTGGCCACTAAGTCATCCAGTTTCTCTCCTCGTTCTAACAAGGACTCCATTGTATTGTGCTAAATGGGAAAAAGACACAGCTGAGAGATAGAGATCCCTGACGTAGGAACCCAGCTGCAGAAGAGGCAGCAAACATGGGAGCCTATGAAGTGGTGAAGCTCCGATCGCCCTGTAATGCCTCAGAGCTTAATTTCCACATTTTCCCTTCACCCATCCTCTCAGCCCCCCCTATCAAGCGTTTACGGTTTCCACTTTCTGATTTGGAAAAAAGTTTAGGAAGCGTCACTGTGCTTTTCACAACAGATGGGCCTCTGTCTACATTTGCCTCTTAAGGACACCAATGGTGGCTTGGTCTACCACTACCACCATCATTAAATCCGTTCTTCCACGTTTACTTTAGTCTCTGCCAGAATGCTATCAAAGAGCTATTTAAAGAAATTTACCCCCAAATAAAAATGTTTGTCTCAAAGGAATAGTTTTTGCCATCCTACAAATGCCATTGTCCTAATATTTTAAAATTAGAAACACAAATCTGCTTTCTCTCCCCCTGTGCTAAAAATACAATACTCTAGAGACCACAGACGATAATGGTGGCTTTCTTAAGGAAGGACACAAAGCAGGACATTCAGTGTTTTATCCCACAAGTCAAGAACCTATTCTGTAGTATTTCATACACAGCACACCTTGTGATCTTAAACGGTGGCCTATAGATGTTTGTTCCACTCACAACCTGTTCGCCTGGATGTGGACTATCTGTTGCTCTTGCATGACTTTTAAAAACTTTTATTTTTATTTAGCATTTGACAGAAATGTTTAATTTCCAGCCTCTCCCCATCACTTTTCAGCAGTATCAATTTCCTATTTGTAATCAGTGGATCACTTTAAATTTCTAACAAGCCAAAATGATTAGGGTTCATTTTGAAGTAACTGCAGTGTAGCAGAAACAATATTTATATTTGAATGTATCTAATACAAGACACATGAATCAACTGCTTACAATCCAATCAGTGTTAATTTTGATGAAAATTACTCATAGCGGGTCTCTCAACTAAATAACTCTATTGCTCCACAATACACAAAGAATCCCAGGATTTCAGACGGATTTTAGGACTGACTATGCTCTAAGAAGGTTGAGGTCACACTATTGACCAGCCACTGAGGATACACTAACTACTGTTCTCCACATATTGCTAGAATGTTTATTCTAGAAAGAGTTTGAACAACCTACTCTGCGCACCGTGTTATCTGTTCACTGAATGGAAATCCCACCATGGCATTCAGGGCAATGGTGGGGAAGGTGGCCTCCTTGAGGAAGGACACAAAGCAGGACATTCACCGTTTTACTCCACAATTCAAGAAGCATTTTGTTCATTACTGGTATCTGAGCATCTCTGATGACACCATAATAGCCAACAAAAAGGAGGTCACAGCTAAGATAAAAATTAGTCATGACCTACTTTTATCTAATTGCATCGTGTTTTCATCTTGTCTTGAAGAATTACATGTAATCATTAACAGACTGAATTAAAAGCTAGCCAGAGTCAGGAACATCTAGAACTATATTCACATGTACAAAAAAGAGAGGAAGTTTTGTTTTTATATAACATTCACAGCCTCGAAATAAAAGGATTCTGAGGACTTTAAAATAGGACCTGCATTTACTGAATCTGTACTCCGAATGCCATACACAGATCCCCGTGCCAAATAAATCTCCTCACTAAGGTTTTCCTCTAGAATTTGCTTTTTTAAAATTATTGTCCTGCTTCCTAATTTTACTGACATCTAGCAATCTCCATATTAACAGCAAGATGCTGACACTTACCAGGATAACTTTGGTCTCATCCAATTCGGCTTGTACTTTTGTCATTGCATCGGCATCACGAGGATTCTTAAAGAATGATAAAGACTTTTATTTGATGATGTTCTTGGCATGATACTAAAAATTGTCATTAAGGTGTTTATACAGCATTACAATGTAATATTTAGGAGAGGCAATTTCTTCAAGTATACCAAAGCCATGCAAACTCAGGCCGTACCGTGCCCTGAACATCAGATTTTATTATGATAAATATTTATTCCCTCTGCTCTTATCTCAGCAACCAACCACTACTATGAAACGTAATAAAAAAAAACAGGTGCAGTCAACAATGTGAGATCAGAAATATTAGGAAAACAGCCTAATGACAAGAAACAGATTGGTTTCTTGTCAGTCAAGAAACTAGTATGGTTTTTTTTTTTTGGGGGGGGGGGGAGATAATACTATTACAGATTGTAAATTTTAAAGGTTAAATCACACATTATAGGCATTGTGGACTGAGTATAAATAAAATCAATTTCTGTTCATCATGTGAAGGTAAAAGACATTGGATTGAGCAGTGTAGAGAAGAGCATCAAACAAATTAGGGGACTGGAGGCTAAAACATATGAAGAATAGTTACAGGAACTGGGCACGGTTAGTCTAGGGAAGAGAAGGACCGGGGGAGACAGGATAGCGGCTTCCAATATTTGAGGGGCTGCTATAGATAGGAGGGAGTCAACCTATTTTCCAAGGTACCACCAGAAGGCCAAACAAGGAATAATGGATGGAAACTGAACAAGGAGAGATTCAACCTAGAAATAAGGAGAAATTTTCTGACAGTGAGAACACTCAAACAATGGAACAGCTTGCCTTCAGAAGTTGTGGCAGCTTCATCACTGGAAGCATTCAAGAAGAGACTTGACTGCCTGAATCTGTCAGAAATGGTGTAGGCCAGGGTCTCCTGCTTGGGTGGGGGACTGGACTAGATGACCTACAAGATCCCTTCCAACTCTATTATTCTCAAATCAAGTTATTTTTCTGATTTCTGAAACCTTTACAGATTTTTTCTCCCAACAATTTATATTCATTCCAACCATACCTGATATTTACTAAGGTATCCATCCAATGCTGTATAGGTTATCGTTGTTGGAGATCCAGAAGGCCAGTCTATCCTATTAACTTGCCTAGAGAATTCATCAAGTACCTACATACAGAAGACCAAGAGAAACCTAAGAATCCTTTTATGCAGATTTTCAAAGAAGTCTTACATTCCTTTGAAGGAATTCTACACAGCAGTCCCCAAAAATAAAATTAGATATTACATTTTTGTTAAAGCTCATAAATTCTAGAATTATATAGCAGGAAGGGACTACATGAAACGAAAAGCAGAAAGAACAGTGACAATGATTAACAATATTCCCTTTTGACACGGACAGCAATGACTCAGACAATCTGATGCTAGTGAAACAGTTTATTATTAGACTTCTATGTTGTTCATCTCGCCGAGGTAATAATTCTACACGTAAGAGTTTATTTAAACCCAATTCAAGTAACAGAATTAAATTTGTGAATGCATTTTACATACAGTTTAGTGGACTTATTGAAAGTATTCTAAGACACTTAAAAGTTTCCTCTCTGTCTCTGAGTTTTGTGTCATTTGGGCAGATTTTCTGGTCCTAAATTACTTTAAATTTTTTGTTAGGCAAAAAGCTCTAAAACCTGGGTGCATCTTGGAGAACTGTGGGCTTAAAGCTCCAGAATTCCTCAACCAGCATAGCTATTTCTAAACATTTTGGGAGTTGAAATCAATATATCATAAAATTGCTCTGGTTGGGAAATGCTTCTCTACAAAAGATGCTGCTTGCATACAAGAGCATACAAGACTGAAATGAATTTTAAACATTCATTTTAATGCATTTTTTTCTCCACCAACCTCCCCTACATCATCACACACAGTCACATGTGACAGTCCCAATGGGAGCATTGCTTTGTAAACAACTTTGTTGCTGCTGCTTTATATCTAGCATATTTCATTCCCTGGTTTTTCAAAATCTTTATTAATTCTAAATGACATTTTACCCTACGCTAGGCTTGGATTATGAAATATGATTAATGCAAATTACTTTAATGTGATGTCCGAACTAAGTCAGAGCTCTATTTCAAGGCAATTTTAACTATGAAACGCCTACTCTGTGTTATCTTGCAGTCCATCTGTAGATACTCAAATCCTCCCTGCACAAGCTGGTATTTACCTTATCCAACAATGTGAAACAAACCCGGGATGGATATTCATGATCTGCAATTACCACTCCAGCCAAACCATCATTCCGTACATAAACATGGCAGAGGTATTCTGAAATGAAGAATAACATGAACAATGTACATTTTTCCCATAAAAAATTCCACAGAATTTGTGAAAAAGAACCACAGATGTGTACAGATTCTCCCAATTCAGCAGTCCCTTTGTTTATTTTAGGTACAAGATGGCTGAGCTCTTTAAGTCTCACTCTGAACATAAGATTCATTTTGGAAAAAAAGAAAATCCAGCTTCCAAGCAGAAGGAATAGGAATCTTGCTTTTGAAATTTTCACGTAAGATTTAACAGCACTGAACACTATACACATTTCATCTTCTGTTATTACAATTTACCTTACAAAAATATCAGAATATGTAATATGTTTGGATGAAGTAGTCCTAACTCAAACTATTAGCAGTGTGTGATCAATATTTTGACCAAGAGGAGCAGTTTTAGAAGTAACATTTTCACTGTCTATTACTTGCCAGAAATTCCTAAGAAAGTCAATTATTTAATTTGACCTAGAGAAATCATCCAGAACATTCCCTTAGATAACTTCCAACATGCTTTTTTCCCCTTAGAGAGCAGTAGTTATCTACATCTTATTATCTGCATTATTCTCAATGTTAAGCCCTACATTTAATATTTGCAGATATACACACCCTTATTTATTATAGTTCTGTCTAAGGCAGACTACTGTGTATGCCTACCTTGTTCCTTTACAGAAGCTCTGCTTCCAAGCTCTGAACGTTCTACAATCAGTTGACTTGTGAAGGTCATAAATTCTTGAACGCTTTTAAATAAATAATTTTAAAAATATCACAATTAGTTACTAAACCATCTATATTCAAATGCACTGTAAAGAAAATAAATTTTATTAGCAGCATCAGCTGCTAATAAAAGATAATTACATCATAAAAATTGTAAAAGCACATGATGTAGGTAGGAGACCACCAGGCTAAGCCCAAGGGAGGAGTCAAGTGCATCATCAGACTGGAGTCCAGCCCACCTTGAATTCCACTGATTCTTATCTACTGCCAATTTGCTCTGACAGTTGGTAGTTCAGAATCTTGTAAGAGTGTTTGGGTGTAATAAACCTGTATTCATTTGAACCATTCTGACTCCTGATTTCTTACACCAGACATATGGTTTTATTTTTTAAAAAAAAGATTTTCAAAAGCAGCATACAAATCATTTAAAAGTGTACGAATCTGTAACAGTAAAATAAGGCCAAGGGTAAATGAATAGAAAAAACTAATCCTTTTAAATAGGAATTCAACGTATGTTTTAATGAGTAAATGTTGTCTATGGTGCAATACAATAAGAGTGCAAGTAACTTCAAAATATGAAAAGAAAAAAGGAATTCTGATAAACTGATATTGTTTTCTTTTCAAGCTCTGGTAGTTCCATTTTACGATATAATTTTGCAGGACGATAGACCCAACATTCAAAGGTCAAATGCAAAACTATATTTAGCCATATATATTTAGAATTAACAGAAACAGCCTAACAAATTCAAAACTGCTAGCATTCTGCTTACAGCTACAAGTATACATGAATGTATATGCTCAGATTTCCTCAAATAGGAAACAGTGTTAAACCTTAACAGAATTCATACTGAGGTGATGCACTTTAGAAACAGAAGCATGAATGTGAGGGCTATCATTTAGCATTATTTTTCACTACTTGGATTTAGAAGTTACATCAGGAAAAAAAGTATTACATCTTGAATTCAATGCAACAAATTCAAAGGGAATGTCATAGTGCGGTTACAGGAAAGCATCAAGGGGAGAAAGCTGATCCTAAAATGAAGTGAAGTCTTACCTGGATCTCTGGAAGAAGCTAAATGATGAGATATCATAAGCAGCTTTCAGTAAGTGCACTTTGGGATCACCTTTGTAAAGAACACTTAGACTGTAAAGCTTCATCTTTTTATCTGTTCAACCTTTCTTGACAACCTGAGCAAAGAAAAAAAAACCCACCTACCTTAATCAGTAATAAAGTAAAATACCACAAGGATAAAGGCAAACATGAATTCCTAACCAGAGATCTATCAGCCTTTTACATGGATACTTTTTACAACAGAAAACAAAGGCTAGCAAAACAAACTCTTGTATTAAACACAATGTGCTTATTTACCTGCATGATTGTCCTCTGAATTAAGAATGAAATTACCCTGCAACTAATCTTGATATTAAAGCAGCTGATTCATAGGAAGCAGAGGTGAGTCAGAAATGGCACTACAAACTTGAAGGACAAGTTGCCTGATCTAGTTAGGAAGCAGTAGGTAATCTACTCCCAATCCAGGATGATTTGGCATTTATTCATTATTCCAAATTCATTCTGCCATCTTTGGCCCATATGGGTAATCCTTGACTGGATTCCCTTCTATCTCATTTCCATTCCTCTGCATGATAATCCAATTCTAAATGTAGATGACACAAGGTATTTTTCCATACCAATAGGCTTCCCTTCTGAATTTTCTAAAATTTTTTGAAGAAGTCTACGGTTTAAACATCACATTTCCCGATTGGTTCCTGACTTCTCAGGTGAGTGCAGGTAGTCCTCGGCTTACAACAGTTTATTTAGTGACTATTCAAACTTACGTCACTGGAAAAAGTGATCCATGACCATTTTTCATAGTTACAACCATTACAGATCCCCATAGTGACATGATTAAAATTCAGACACTTGGCAACTGACTCATATTTATGACAGCTGCATTGTCCAGGAGTCACATGATCACCTTTTGCAACCTTCTGACAAGCAAAATCAATGGGGAAACCAGATTTTAGAAATTACATCAGAAAAAAAGTATCAAAAACCATTAATTTATCAACTGCAGTTATTCACTTAATAACTGTGGCAAGAAAAGTTGTAAACTGGGGCAAAACTCACTTAACAAATGTTTCACTTAGCAACAGAAATTCAGTGATGGTCATAAGCTAAGGACTACCTGTATGTGAATAGTGACCAGCAACCCTTCACTCAAAGGGGGCAAATCTGAAAGAGGTTTGTAAGGTTAAAACTATTTAACTTTACAAAGGAAAATCCAAGAGCAAAACCCCAGAAAAACTTCCCATATTCCTACACAAATACATCAATCAAATGTTATATGCAAATTTATTTCAACAAGGCCATTCAATTTTCATTTTTTCCCATGAAGGTGAAAGACTCTAATCTTCGACTTAACAAACTTTAGTGACTGTTCAAAGTTACAATGCAACTGAAAAAAGTGACTTACAACCGTTTTTCAGTTATAACTTCTGCAAGCAATCCCAGGGTCATGTGATCAAAATTCAGATGCTTGGCAACTGGTTCAAACTTAAGACCATTGCTGTGTCCTGGGGTCACATGATCCCCTTTTGCCACCTTCTGACAAGCCAGGTCAATGGGGAAGCCAGATTCACTTAACTGGATTACTAACTTATTAACAGCAGTGGTTCATTTAACAGCTGTGGCAAGAAAAGTCGTAGAATGGGGCAAAACTTACTTTAAAAAGGTCTCACTTAAGAACAGAGGGGGGTTTTTTTTGGGGGGGGGGGGGGTGTAATTGTGGTCGTAAGTCGAGGACTGCCTGTAGAAGAAACACCCCCCCCACCCCACCCCCAAAGAAAGGACCCAAGTGAGTTTTTGAAAAACGACTCAATCCACAGGGCTGCTTTCTGAAATAAAGGCCCGCCCTTTGCCAAAAAAAAGATGGAGACGATGAGCCATTCGTTCGTTTTAAGATTTGTTTTTCCACGCTCCATTTTAAGGCCCCTCCCAGACCCAGAAGCCAAACCGAGAGGCCGCCATGTCTGTCCGCACCCACCCCCCCGCTGAATTCGCACCCCCGTCGGCCACTCCAGTCTCCAGCTGGGCCTGAAGGAACCAACACACCCTGGGCCGCCCTTAGTAACAAGCCCTTCCCGACTCCAACCCCCTCAGGCAGCTGGCTGGGGATAATAGGCGTGGGTGTCCAACCAGCCCGGGAGGTCTCTAAGGCAGTAACAGTACCGGTGTGGGGGTGGGGTTCCTCGTCCCCGCCCGGTAGGCCGCTTCGCTTCCCGCAAGGACCCACCTCACGACCCGAAGGGAGCCCGCCTCAGCCCCGCGTTGCCTCAGAGACGGCTGAGCGGCCCGAAACAGTGATGGAAGCGGAAGCCGGCACGCCCTTTGACCCCGTGACAGAAGAGCCGGAAGAGCTGCCAACTCGACGGCCGGCTGAGCCATAGAGTTACGAAAAATGTAGAGCTAGGAAAGGGGAAGAGTCGCCCCGCGCCGCCTGCTGCCGCGTACGCGGCTGGACATTGCTCGGAGCTGTTGGAGAGACAGCGTGTGGCGGCGGGGGTGGGGGGGTGGATATCTCTCGGGATCTCCCGCTGTCAGACTGTCCTTCTCGTAATCTCTAAGTAGCATGGGCATTGTAGTTCACCACAACGGTGGAGTGCCCCGTGAATAGGATTTGTAAATGCACGACCACAGTTGAGTCCAAATGAATAGGACGCTGCCACAAAGAAAAGGGGGTCAAATTACTCTCCAAAGCACCAGGACAAGAAACAATCAATTGAAACTAATCAAGAAGAGAAGCAACCTGGAATTAAAGAGAAATTTCCTGACAGTGAGAACAATTAACTAGTGGAACAGTTTGCTTCCAGGGCGTGGGCGCGCCATCACTGGAGGTTTTTAAGAAGAGGCTAGAGTAGACAATCACTTGTCTGAAATAATATAGGGTCTCCTGCTTTTGAGCAAGGGGCTGAAGACCTCCAAGGTCAAGAATATAGAACTATATTCCAGCTCTCTCTATATATATATTCTGGGATATATTCTTGGATATAGAAGAACGTTGGTTGCAACTTTCTGGGGCTGCTGTATCGTGATCCTGCTGTTTTAAATGCTGTAATAACATGCCAAAACAACATGCCTTTTTCTAAATGTCAGGAACAAGGCAGTGGCATAGATGGGGAACAATTTCTGCTTTGGTGCAAGCAAGGATCTTTGCACGTGAGAGTGCAATGGCTGAGACCTGTGCAATGAAAGATTTTACTCCACCTTCCTTCTCGTCACCACAGTCCAGCTTCTCCACAGCAAAATGTGGCTGCAGCAGTGTCTTTTGCCACGATTGGCAATTGAAAAGATGTTTGTTCCTCTGTGAGCACAAAAATTGGACAATTACACATCAGTTCAACCTCATGGAAACATGGAAGAATATCATGCAAAGCTGACAAAATAGGGAGAAGCACAATAAATAGGAAACACTACCATTTTACATATTGTAGATAAAAAGCCACTCAAATCTTCAATTGCATGTTTCTTGGAGATCCTTGGACATTTTGGGACTATTGGGTTTTTTATACAACTGAATCTTTTGTACTTGTAGTACAAGTGCTAAGAAGGCAGAAGACCCAAACTTACCAACCAAGAGGTGTCAAGATTAGCTCCAACCCAAATAGATGAATTTAACATGGACACCCTCCTCTTTGATTCCATAACTCACAATAGGACTGGCTCTTTTTTATTCCTCCTCCTAATTGTACTAATCTGTCAACAGTGGAACCTGCTCAGGTTATAATTCCAGTCAATCAGAATAGATCTGGAAGGGACCTTGGAGATCTTCTAGTCCAACCCCCTGCTCAAGTAGGAGACCCTATTTAATTGTTCTCACTGTTGAGAAGTTTCTCCTTAATTCCAGGTTGCACCTCTCCTTGATTAGTTTCCATTCATTGTTTCTTGTCTAGCTTTCTGGTGCTTTGGAGAATACAGGTAGTCCTCGACTTACAACACGATTGAGCCCAACATTTCTATTGCTGAGACACCTGTTAAATGAATTTTGCCCCATATTACAATCTTTCTTCTCACAGTTTTTAATTGAATCACTTCACTTGTTAATTTAGCAATATAATTGTTAAGTGAATCTAGCTTCTGCATTGACGTTGCTTGTCAGAAGCTGGCAAAATATGAGCCAGTTGTTGAGCATCTGAACTTTTATCATGTGACCATGGGGATGCTGCAGCCATTGTAAGTGTGAAAAATGCTCATTGTTTTTTTTCCCAGTGCTGTTGTAACTTCAAATGGTTACTAAATGAACTGTTGTAAGTCGAGGACTACCTGTATTGAGGGAAGATATGAGTAAACTGCAAAGCTATTTCAAGAGAAATGGGTGCTTCATTCTAGGAAATGCTCGCTTGATATTGCTAACTCCAGGTTGGTTGTGGAAACACCTTTCTCCCTTTTCATAAATATATGCCCACTGACCTTCCGCCTTTCAGAGAAGGATGCTGATGACCAACTACAGGTTGCTAAGCTTGGCAATTAATTGGCAGAGGCAGCTAAAAAAATAATATGGTTGCTATGTCCATTTGAATTAAGCCCTATTTCCATGGTAGCTCTTCCACATGACAGCTTTAATAGAATGGAGAGAGTTGATGTGCAGTGGAACTGCAAAAGAGTTTCGTCCATTACTATGGCAATGCAGTGTTAGTCTTGAGACTCATCCCCGGAAGTAGGCCTTGTGGACCGCAGAAATGACACAGCATCTCCAAGCACTAAAGTAAATAAATGTAATGTGTCCAGAAGAGTAACTTAATCAAGAGGACGTCCCAAGCCGGGTTACTCAGGAGGCAATTTTTCTCACTGTGAAACAGCTCACGACTTTGTCTTCACCAAAATGTTGATGGACAAAAGGGATCTTTGGGCAAGGGAGATATCTGCTCAACACCCCACAAAGTGACTTTGAGAGGAACAAAGTCAGAGAAATCCCCAGGCAAGGAGAAACCCAGAGACCAGAAAGTTCATCGCTTCAAACGTCGTTTTCCAAAGGAGATGAAGTAACATTTTGCCTGACATAAAGCCACCAGAGACAGTGGAATAACGTCAAGAGGCAGAACAAGGAAAGCTGCCTTCTTTGTTAAGGGCATACAAGGGTGTGGTGGGAAAAGAGACGCATTTGGCCTTGTTTATTTCTGGACCTTGGGCAGATTGATTTAACCACTGTCTCCTGGTCGGTGCTGAGAGTTGCCCCCATGCTGGATCACAGAAATAGGATGGATAGCTCCCAGAAGGAAAGGGTAAGGTCCTATCTTTGTTTTCTCATTCTGGGAAGTCCAGGGTGGGGCTGAGTTTTGCAATTTTGAAGGCCACTCACCAAAAATTAAGATATGGGGGCATTCTTTAAATGGAGGGGGATACAGTGCAAAGCTGTAACCAAATGCATCTAGGTTTATGTACCCCAGTGCAACAGTCTAAGGTTTGACGCAGCAAAGAGACAAGGGAGATTTTTGAGTCATTACAGGTAGTTCTCAACTTACAACCACAACTGAGACCAGAATTTCTGTTGCTAAGTAAGATGATTGTTAAGTGAATTGCACCTGATTTCACGATCTTTTTGCCATGATTGGTAAGTGAATTCCTGTGGTCATTAAATGAATCATGTGGTTGTTAAGTGAATCCAGCTTTTTCTGTGGATGTTGCTTGTCAGAAGCAGGCTGGGAAGGTCCCAAATGACAGTGGGATGCTGCACCTGTCGTAAATACATGCCAGTTACCATATATCCGAATTTTGATCATGTGACTATGGGGATGCTATGACGGTCATAAGTGGGAGGATCAGTCATAGGTTACTTTTTCTCAGTGCTGTTGTAACTCTGAACTGTTGCTAAATGAATGGATGTAAGTTGAGGATTACTTGTACCCCACTTGATTGCATCTGATACTATGAGCAAACCCTCAATGTGGATAGCAAATGAGGCAGATCAGTGGGATAGGAGAAAAATTCCATCCCTTTCAGTTGAAAGAATCGGGAAACTTTATTCTCTAAATTCATCTGGATAACTTATATAACAGCAAATTAGAGATACCTTTTCAAAGTAAGATACAGGCTACAGACTTGTCTTTCCAAATTTATTGAACTACTGATTGTTCTGAAGTTCAAATGGGCACCCCAAGAGCCCAAAGATTTTGTTAGCCTTGAGAATCCCCATTCTTTGATTTAAGAAGTTAGATTCCCCTTGAAGGTATTTTGCTGTTTTTCCCATTTTTTTCTACTGAGCTCCCTAAATTGGCTGCTTCCATTTTGACACATCCTAGTTGTCTTGCAATACAATCAGTTTATAAATGAGGCTGAACTATAGCGACATTTCTATATCAATCAAGCCTGAAAGTGAACTTATACACTATGTTCAAGCGACACCCAAGTATCCTTGTTCTCAAAAGATCCTGAGGAACCATCTGGGGATACTGCTGAAAAGTTGAATTGAGGTAACTAAAGCCTGTTTGTTCTTGGCCTCTGGTAACTATACATACAAGTGGTAACACCATATGAAGATGTACTTACATATAAGCCATAAGGGAGGGAATTGCCTAGTCTAGGAATAAGATTTCAGGAAACCAAAATTAGAAGCACGCCAGTCAGATATTTGCACTTTGCTCAATGTAATTTTAATGCCTGGACTTTAATATTTGCTGTATTTTTGAATTGATATAAACAGGTTCCCTGAATTTGCATGAAGTGGGTAACCTAATTAAGCATAGCAGGAGTTGCTGGGTTTTTGCATATGTGTCGTGTCCGTCGCAGGGAAGGAGACTCGGGAGCCAGTGACTTAGTTCAACTCTTTATTAAGTCCCGAGATCGGCTCGGGCTACAGAATAAAAGCAGCGGCTTTTATTCTCTGGCCGCGGCGGCCGCGGCCAATGGCACCGCTTTGAATCTCCCGCGATTAGTTTCCACCAATCGTGGGGGATTCGCGGCGGGCCAATCAGTGCGGCTCGCTCAGCCAATCAGGTTGTCGTGCGTTCTGACCAATCACAACGCGGCGCTTGCAAGTATGTTAATGGATCGTACAGAACACCCCTCCCCTCTTGGTATGGTCCTACGTAACGTAGTCCCGTAAGTAGGCGGGGCTCCGTACTTGCCTACTTGACCTGCGCAGGTTAGTTGCTGGTTGGCCTTCGGCCGGTTCGGTCGGGTTCTGTGTCGCTCTCTGCCTCGTCGATGGAACCGCCTGGAAGTGTGAGCCGGGCCTTTCGTTGCAGCTCCCTCCCGGTCTACCCGGGTTGGTTGAGCTGCTGTTGTCGCTGCTCCCGCTCGGTCTTTCCGGGCTGGTTGAGCTGGCCTGGCTGCTTCTCCCTGGTGAGGCTTCGAGCTGGGTGTCGGTTGGTAAGTATTCCTGGTTTCTTTCTGGTTGGGGTTGGT